TCACCACATATGAACATTAATTTATGACTTATTGACGAGTAATTTTCTTCCATCCAGTCATTAAATTTTTCTATGCTGGCTCCAGGTGCTCTATAAATACAGCTTATTACAACATTTTTCTTTTTTTCCAAAAGTAATTCAACCGTCACGCATTCCAGAAGTTTCTCCACCACCCTAGACATTTTCTCCACTTTTTTGTTTTTCAGTTTACATATTAATGAGTGTGTGAGGATGAGCATGTCTTTACTGGAATCAATATTAGCATTGTTCGGCATAGCACATCATGTCAGTATTACATATAGAGTAGTATAACACAAAAAAGAACATTCTGAAAGGAAGCACGAATGAGACATGAAAATACCGCCTTTGATTACAAACAGAGTGAACATGCAACAGCACATTGTTAGGAAACGTTCTACCAATAAGCTTGATAACTGGTATGCTGCATATTGAATACAGGCCATCTGTTTCTGATCATTAAATTTACATTTCCTTGAATCAGGACACTGTACATATTTGTCTTTTGTTGTTGAAACACTCCAAACTTAATCTAGGGTAGAGACAGCAAAGACTTCAAAGATGTTTTCGGTCATTTTTCCTCTGGATCTGAATTAAACATTTCAACTCTTCAATAATTCTTTAATGAAAGCTTCAAGCAAAGCTTGTATTCTGAATGCATGAGGACCTTCCTAGACTTCAAACCTGGCAGCCAAAAATTAAACACATCTGAATTCATTTGCTTTAATAATGTTTGCATTCTGTACTGATACAGTGATCATTCTTCCAACTGTGGCCATTGTCAATAAATCAGACTTGCTTGAGAAATAGAAGATTTTAAAATATTTTATGCTTTGCCAAAATGTGAGTAGTATGAACTCTAATAGAGATCCTGTTATTTACACAAGGTTTAAACTGTTCTGAGTTTGGAAATGTTGTTAAGGCAAAATGTTATGGGATGACATTCAGTTCATAGGCTGCAGTTGTAAATCATATTTTGTGAACCTATAAAAAATGTAATGACTAAATAAAGATTTGCGAGCACACAAACTCTTCAGATGCACAGAAAAGGTTTGGCACTAGACTCATTATGAGACTGTACAAATAAAATATGTGCACAAACTATCTCAATGAGGTTACACAAAAAAACCCTGCAAAAATAATGTTTTAATATTTGAGGTCTGAAAGGTCTGAAAGCAGAAATGTTCCAACATTGTGTCAGAAAATCAAAGTCTGTTTATACTGTATGTTTTCAGGAATACTACTGCATATGTGGAAAAAGTTGTATTAACACTGGGTCTGAAGACTGCAAGTTTGAAGTTGAGAAACATCTGGGGTGTGGAGTAATGAAGTAGTGAGTTTATCAAAGCTCAAAGCCCAAGGCTACACTGGCTGCTACTGGCATAACACACCCTAATCTCTGACCTGTCAGTGGTCAAACTGGGTTGTGGGTAATGTACATACCAGGATTTTACAAGGAAGAAGAATGCATAGTATAAAAAAGCAACACATTTGGTTCTGCTACATCAATTTTTATCATTCAATCCTTTTTATTGTGATACACTAAATTTCTAACCCTACCACATTATACCGCCAATTTCAAATAATTACATTATTTAAAATTATGTGTCTGTTTGTAAGTCTTACCTGTTTTGGGGTTGATAGAGAAGAAATTTTGCGGGTTGCCAGCAGTGATGCGATAACTCAGACGACTGGGTGCGGCAGTCAGGTCTGGGTCCTGCGCCTGGATACGGATGACTGACACATCCTTTGGAGAGTTTTCCATAATGACTGGGTGGTAGATGGGGTCTGAGGTGAGGGGAGCATTGTCATTGACATCTTCTACCTGAGAGGGAAGGAGGAGAGAAGAGAAGAGGAAGAGAATGAAAAATAAAGTGGAACGAAGGAGAGAAAGGACAGGAAAAAAGTGTTTGTATTCATTTTAACATTCTAAGGTTAAACTAAATGTATGCACATACAAACACCAGTTTTACATGGGGCCAGTGCACTTTCTCCTCTTGTAGCAAACTTGACAAGCAGATTTCAGTTAATCGACAACTCATGAAATGCAGCATTGACTGGGGTGGGGTTGATTTATCAATCATAAAATGTTAATTTATTTACCAGAAAATGTCATACAGTAGATGTCACACTTTAAATGCACTGAAAATTAATTTCCCCTCTTCCAGCATAAATCTAGAATATTTATGACGTGGTGTTGAGTGAGTGCTTGCTGGAAGGCACAGGGAGCCATGAAGGTTCAGCCAGTGAAGGAGGAGCACCTGTGCCTGATTAATCTCCCTGTTTTTGTCTTTCATGAAGAGGCTGAGAGTAAAGCACCAGATCCCACCAACACATCTGATTATCCCAAATAGGTTTATTTATTTTTTTTAGACAAACCACTGTTAAATAAACTATTCTCCAGTGGTAGCAGTGATGTGTATATTTGAATGTCTAGCCAATGGATCACTTAGTACCAAATAAAACAGAAGCAGAAGCACATCATTCCCTGACATTAAGCAAGAAATACTCCACCCAAACTATTTTCAAATATCAAACAATCACCCTGTGTAGACTTGAATAAAAGCTTTAAAAGGGGCAAGTAATCTGGTAGACTGGGAACAAGTATACCATAATGAATGGGCTAAAATGACACTTGAATGGATACAAACACTGCTCAGAGGGTACCCAAAAAGATCGGAGGAGGTTAGGGAGGACAGACAATCTATTAGACATTTCATAAATTATGATTATTTTACTATAACCACCTTTTTTTGTTACTTTTGTTGGTAAAAAAAACATTTGCACTAGCGGAATGTGTGTTAAATATTACATTGGTGAAAAAAAAAATCTGTTTTCATCTTTTTGCCATTTAAAAAAAAGGGGAAGCAAACGAGCTCTCTGCTAAATAATTTGTGACAAATTCCACATTGAACTGTCTTTAGTTTACATAGTTACAAAAAAACTAACAAGTAATAAACAAGATGTTTTTTTGTGACTGATTAAGGTTCACAGTTTCTTTTTCAGAAACAGAAAGTGAAGGAAACGGTCCAGGTTTATTCTTATGCTATGTCATTCCAGGTTTATGCTTATCTCTTCCATATAAGCCCTTTTCTGCATGCAAAGCATAATGTGAATGGTGGCCTACTATTGGTACCTGGATGAAGACTTCAATAGAAGCTGATAGGGGTGTAACCCCTCTGTCTATGGCATAGACTGTAAGCCAATAGGAGTCTTTGGTCTCACAGTCCAGGATACCAGCAGTGTAAATCACACCTGTTAAGGAAGAGAGAGAGAGATTACTGCAGCTGTTACCCGGCCTTGAAAGTACATATTTATTTGAAGTGTGTGTCTGTGTGTGAGGGCAGTCCAGGTGTCAATGCTGGAATACACATCTAAATGATATCATGGAGAAACTCTTTGGATACAGAGTTTCCAGAGAAAGAAACAAGTTTAGAGTAAACTTTGTGTCCTGGCTTCTGGGACACTCATGGGCATTAGTGACACTGCTGTGGTCACCTTCGCTGTTTCCGCTTCTCTGTCACAACTAACCAAACTGCTTCTGCTGTTATTTGCTTAGTGCTAAATGTACCCTGAACTGCCCTACACCATAAAGACACAAGCTCCTAGACACTCACACACACACTGACTGGTGTGTGTTTACTGGCCTTAAGGAAAATGAGTGGCTGACAGCTTTGGTGACCTTTCGAGGGACAGAGTTCACCCACAATAGATGACACATGGGTGCTACTTTTCAATTCATTCAAGCAGGAGTAAACACTAAAAAAAACATGATGTACCCTCATTCGTGAGTTCACACTCTAGGTTTTAGGGTTCATTCATGTCTAGCACAGTGGTGCAAGTGTTAGGTTTCAGGCAGGGAAGGACCTAAAATGCAGACGCGTTCTAGTGTTTATTCAGTTCAATATAAAAGAAGAAGAACAAAGAGGGCAAACAGGTGCTCAACCTGACAGGACTTCACAGTACTGGTACAAAACTAATTTCTAAACAGAAATGAACACAAGTTAAAAATACATTGACTGAACTTCAGAGCATATTTAAAAGCCGGCCATTTCCAGAAACATGAATCTGTTACTTAAAACTAACATTATTGTGCCTTTGCAAAGTATTATGATGTGTTAGTATTAAATCAGTATTAAAAGCTTTGTCATACCAAATGAACTAACCCTATATGTGCTTTCATTTCAAGCACATTGTTGTCATGGCAAAGCAATGGATATGTCATAAACAGGCAAAGTACTAATGTAAGTAAAGCAAGTACAGATCAGTGTCTGGGTATTTTTACTCTGTTCCATTTAACAAATAAGAGAATTAAGGTAGATGCCCCTGGATTTTATTAAAAAAACTCTCCTTAGTCACATAGTGCAAAAACAAGACCTAACTGAGGATTCATTTGACTAACAATGTTCCTGACGCCACCGTAGCAGACACTACGACAGTTCAGCCCAGACTCTATATTCTCAGTGCCACCCTTGCCTAACCTTGGCTCCTTTATTAAAAACAGTTTTGCTGGATAGCATTTAAACAATCATAAAAGCATGATGTTCAGGCAGGGAAGCTTGAGCACAACTTCCAGGTCAGTAATACCTTCGTGAAGACAAAGATTGATCTTTTCGCATATATATAGTATTAAGTTGTTTGTGCTGTTGGAGAAATTAACCTGATTTGCTCTCAGTAAATGTGTGCTGTTTCTTAACTTGGCTTTTCACTCAGCAACAAACCCCACACACCCAGGTGGCAATCAAACAAGCATACAAATCAGTGACTAGCAGTGTGACTGTGTGGCCTTTTTTGTATACTTGAGTCTGCCTTGTTGCAGTTAGCTCAGCTGCATGGCAAACGTGTTACAGTACCTTATCACCAGAAAGTGTGTGTATATGTCAGATTATGACTAAGCAGCTGCCCTGGAAACACACAGTGCATAATAAAAGTGTTTTCTGAAACACATCCTTGCGCTGTTGTCCTTGACCATGTCCTTTTCAAACCACATCTCATCTCTGTCTGATTGCTCGACAGAGAAAGACGAGGAAAACAGAGCTGGCTGTTTCAAAAGCTCTTTGAACTTCGAGACCGACAGGCACTATTCAGTGAATTCAATATAAATCTGACTTGACAGCATCCATTCTCACCATAAATAACACACTTCAAAGAGTGAACAAAAAATGGAAGGGTCATGGCACATTTTCTAATCCAGTTCACAGTACACTTGGGTTTACATCTATCTGCCATGTCTATTCAGCTTCTCCATTCTTAAAAAACTGGTTTTCTGATTTCATTATTTAATTAATGCCACCCAATCAACTAATCAGTTCCGAGATGATGAAAATATATTGTGTATTTTTCTGCATCTTGAAACATAAACGTATCTTGAAACTAGCTCTGTGTGCCAGAAAAGGTGACATGAAAAATATAGCCTATTAATTTTTAACAAATGCAGAATGGATTACTTTTTAAGAGTGTGTTTGCCTGTAACTTAAAGAATGCTTTATCCTGACCGTGACAAATCCTGGAGCTTGCAAACCCACTAATAGAGGAGCAGTGGCTCCTGACAGCTGCCCAATGAGAAATTGCAGAGCTTGCTTTCCCCCTAACCAATGACAAGAATACCAATTTTTGTTCAAACTGCAGGAGTGGTTAAGCCAGAGAAGATCCTAATTCTTTTCAGAGAAATAGCCCCTATACTTTCCACCCACATAGGAGTGAGTCATCTTAAACACCTAAATGTCAAATGTGGGAACAGGGGGCATTCATAAATGGCAGGTATGACAGACAGCGGGGGTTATCTTGGACGACACATGATGCATCATAGAGTCAATTTACAAACTATAGGGATGGGAATGCATAAGTAAAAATGGGTTAAACAAAATGCATTTCTTTGTCCCTTTTACTCTTTCTCAATGTCTGTCTTATTTTCTTTTCACATACTTAGTTTTGGGCACTATGAGCCACAAGTTGAGAAACTGTCAGATCAGAGCCACTCAACATGGCAGCTAAATGCATAGTGGGGGGGACAGAGTGGTGCTAGTCTGTCCATGCCTGACAACACTGCCTTGTATGCTGCAAGATAAAACGAAACACCTGATGAGAAAAAGCATGGCATGTTCTTACAGTATCTGTTCACACCAAAACAGCTCTGATTTGATACTTTTCATGTGTTTTCAATATTAGAAAATAATTAAATAAAATTTTTAAAAGTCATGACTTAAAAGCAAACTTCCCAAAAGAATTTTTTTTAAAGAGCTTGTGAAGAAGAAAGCAGTATTTTCTTCTGACACTTTTTATGGCCTCCAGACTCCCCTGCATCCTCATCTTTCTTCTCTTCGCTTCACTTCCACACCCGCCTCACCCTCGCTTTCTGCTCTAACAAGCACTCTGATTTCCCCTGGAAAACCTACACTCAATAAACTTTCTCTCTGGCTGTGGTGCTCTTTGGTGGAGTTATAATACAAAGGTGAATAACAGCCTCGATTTCTATTACAAGAGACTGTAGGGATCTGTCTATGTACTGTACACTACTTGTCTATGAGTAAGTATATACAGCAGGTAGTAATGCATACATAGCTTATATGAAGAGACAGGGATACAGAGTGAGGGAGACATTCTCTCTATCTGTCAATCTGTTTTTCTCTCACTTTCACTCTCAGCTATGTCAATACTAATTACCCTAGTTAAAGTTCAATAAAAACCTCCAGTGCAAATCATGTACAGTAGGAACCTGTGTGACAAGGGAGGCCAGAATAGTAATACTGTCATTTGTTCCCTAAAAATAAGGGTTATAAAAAACTCAAAATTAACCAGATAAAATTGACCAATGTTGCTTATGTTTTAGCTGCTAACTGATTTGATTTGATTTAATCTTTCAAGCATGTAAAAACAGTTGATATGTCAATACTTCATAATTTTACACATATCCAATAAATGCTAATCCAATATCAATTTACTTGTACCTAGTACATGTTTGAATGGAGTAGGAAGAAGTCAGACTTATCCAGTCCTACCCCATGACATCATCTTACCATCATTGGTTTGCAAGCAGTATCTCTACATAAATAATTCTCTTCTACACCACACAAGTAATATACTAAAGAATTATTACAGAGTGTTAACATTCATACATAATTACATTCTTAAATAATTCTCTTCTACACCACACAAGTAATATACTAAAAAATTATTACAGAGTATTAACATTCTTACACCACACCCACAATGTTCCATCTGGTTAATCATTAAGCCTGTTCTTGCATATATCTTGATTGACACATACCTTTATATTTATGTTTAAACTCGTCAATTCTATTACTATTTTTTATGTCTGCACTTTATGTCTCCCCCAATTTTCAATTGAAGTTCATTATCTAGTCTACGATTCCCAAATACCATAAATTTAGTTTTATCCAAATTCAGAGATAGAATATTACTGTCACACCATTTCTTTATCTTCTCAAGTTCCTGTGAAACCCGTCCAGAGAGTTGCTGTAGGTTTTCACCCGATGCCCATATGGTAGTGTCATCAGCAAACAAAACCACTTTCACTAAATCAGAAACCTTGCATATATTGTTAATGTATAATATAAATAATTTAAGTCCCAAAACAGAACCCTGAGGCACTCCACATACAATATCCAGCTCACTCGATTGGTATTCACCCAACTTCACAAATTGACGCCTCTGTGTCAAATAACTTCTAATACATTACAGAACCATTCCTCTGATCCCATATACCTGCTGCAAGAGAATACCAATTTTATTAGCTGCTATTTGCTTACTATTGCCTTAATTATAGAACTATTACAAAATTTTAAGTCACACATTTTAAATATTAGTATTTATATAACAGCTAATAACATGTAGATATGTTTTTTTAACTGAACTGTACACATTTGAAGTAGAGATGGGTTTTTTAATCATTAGTCAGGTAGTTGTGATTCAACATCTAATAACTTATCATCACATGTTCCTTCTATAGAACTGCTACATGATTAGACACTGACTGGTAAAATTCAAGGACTAATTAAAAAGATAGTTTTTGTTTATGCAACAATATGTTTTCAAATAATAATGACTGACAATATTGACAGTTAGGAAACTAGGTTTTAATAGTTAAAATTTAAGTATGTATGGTATTGATTGCAATTAAAAAACTTATAATTATTATTGGAAATAGGAAACTGTTCTATCATTTTAAAAAGCAAATTGTGATATAAGTATCAGGAGTAAAAAAATCTTTAAAACATGTTCTCTAGTAACTAATTAATAAAATTAGTTACTAGAAAAGTGGTAATTAAATTAGTGAGAAATGAGTGGGGAAAACATAAATACTCCCAAATTATCCATCTAAACTGTATGTACTTATATTTATAAGTATTTTTATTTTCATAATGCACATTCTTTTCTTTTCTTTTTTCCGTTCAGCCCTATCTTGTTTACTTGTCTACTCATTCATTGCCTTATGGAAGAACATGTACATAAACATTGAGAGCCACAGTACCAGAGTCAAATTCTTCATGTGTCCAACACACCTGGCCAATAAAACTGATTCTGATAACTTATTACATTGCTGTAATGTAGTTTATCTTGCTATATTTCATCAGAGACTGTCAGCAAAGACAACACTGACTTTTTAACAAGCAGTTCCTTTTAAACAGTTAAATGGTGACTTGTACTTTAAGTCTCCATAATTTGCAGAGTTCTCACAATTGCTTGCTTATACTAAATACATCACCTGTCAGTGATAACACTTAGTATCAGTGGTAATATGAAGTACTACTCACTATGGAGGCATCAGCAATATAATATAGGAAACAGAGACTAAGTGAGTGACTGATTTTGAAGCTTGAAGGTTGGATGTTTCAGCACCACGGACAGAGACACCCACAGAGGTTTCTGGTTTAAATGCTTCAGCACCACGGACAGAGACACCCACAGAGGTTTCTGGGTTAAATGCTTCAGCACCACGGACAGAGACACCCACAGAGGTTTCTGGGTTAAATGCTTCAGCACCACGGACAGAGACACCCACAGAGGTTTCTGGGTTAAATGCTTCAGCACCACGGACAGAGACACCCACAGAGGTTTCTGGGTTAAATGCTTCAATGCTTCAGCCAGCACCACGGACAGAGACACCCACAGAGGTTTCTGGGTTAAATGCTTCAGCACCACGGACAGAGACACCCACAGAGGTTTCTGGGTTAAATGCTTCAGCACCACGGACAGAGACACCCAGAGAGGTTTCTGGTTTAAATGCTTCAGCACCACGGACAGAGACACAGAATGGAAATGAGTCTTGATGGGAAAGCAGGATCACTCAGCCACACCCACCTCTGCGCCAATGGTAATTTCAAATATGCAGACTTTACTACCTTGGTATTTGCAGAGATGTCAATGGGAGTGACAATCATTCTGTAAATGAGCCAATATGAACTACTGATATGAACTGATCCTATGAAGTGACCTACTTTTATCTTGGCTATTTTATCAGCGGGTAAGTTAGTCACAGCATCTTGTTTTGATCAACATGTCATCAACTACAGTTTGACACTGTAGGACAACTGAAGAAAACTGCGTGCTTTTTGGAGTCAAAGCTCCTTAAATAAGTCACAGGGATTTCACTATACTTGGAAAGGATGAGAATGCTGTACAAGAGAGCCTTGGCCAATGTTATCCACACAGCACTGGATCAGTTTTACTGAGCAGCCTGAGGCCGTGCCAGTGCAGCTGCCATACTGCTCTCATTACATTAAAGATCACTCAGTACACAGCTCCCACGTGATACCCCATCAACACATTCATTCTGACTGTACTTCACATTTACTTCACCGCTCTCCTTCTATTACACACATACACGTTCAACCAAGCAACATGCAACTGGTGATGCTTCTGTGAGAGTAATCACTAATGGAGAAGAAATAGTAAAATTTCCTATAAGATGCAATGATTAGCAACACATTAAGATGTTAATATTCCAAGCATGGCAGTGTGAGTTAGTGGATTTCCACTTTACATAAACAGGCTTCAAAATTGATCTTGTGTCACACCTGTGTCTTCGTCAATGGTGAAAGTGCCCAATCCGCTGCCTCCCCTGACAGAGTACCTCAGTACACCATCACGTCCCTTGTCATCGTCCTTAGCATTGACTGTCAGGACACTTGTGCCTGCACGAGAATTCTCCTTCACTGAGCCTCTCACAGCAAAGTCGGTAAAGTAGGGGGCATACAAATTCTCACTGACATCCAACACCTGAAAAAAATGTAATGGTTAATTTTAATTTTGACAGACAAACTGAGTGAAGATACTATGTGTAGTTTCATAAAGTATGAATGTAGGAACGGGATATTTAAACAAATATTCCAATATTGCTTTTACGTAACTGGAACGGGATATTTAAACCAATATTCCAATATTGCTTTTACGTAACTGCATTATGGCTAACAACAATTTATGTCCACCGACAATGAGTTCCTTTAAGTAATTATTTAGTTAAATTAAGTGTTTACTTGTGCTTACTAATATACTCTAAACAATACTTTCAACACATGTGAAACAAATATAAATGAATTGTGAGGCATATTGCAGCTTGACCTTAAAAGGTCTTTACATTTATTTATTTCAGGTTGATCTGGGAGTTTTAGTACACCATGATCTAAATGCTATACATAGGCATTGCTATTGTGAGACTAAATAGGGAAGCATTAAAGACAAAATGCAAATATTAGCATAGCGTATCAACAATTTAAAGCTTGAAATTAACCAACAAAACTTTCAATGTTAATGCCTAACAGATTAAACTGATCATTTGAATTTGTATTGTTATGTAAACGTGTGTGTGTGTGTGTGTTACCCACTTCCACCTCCACAAATGTCTGACTTTTAAGACTAGGTATGCCCCTGTCCTTAGCAAGTACTGTCAAGTTGAAAAACTGTTGTTTCTCAAAGTCCAGCTCCTTTCTGATCCTCAACACTCCACTCACAGTGTCGACCTGTACAAAATATTACAATACCATACATTATGAATTGTCAGTAAAAAGAGGATCAGCATGTGGAACAATATAAACAATAGGATTAGTAACAGCATGTACCTCAAAAGTGCCATTGAAGTCATTCATCAAGGAATATTGGACCTGTCCCCCAGGGCCAATGTCTGGATCCTGAGCCTGCACCCAGGTAATCACAGCACCTGGAGGAAGGTCCTCTAGCACTTGAGCACTATAGCTGCTAGGGACGAAAGCTGGGGAGCAATCATTGACATCCTCTATTATTATACTTAGAGTAGTCACTGATGACCTTCGAGTGCCTCTTTCAGCCTTGTCTCTCACTTCAATTTTCAATGTGAACACTGGGAGTATTTCTCTGTCCAAGTAGCTCGCAACAAAAACACTTCCAGTTTCACTGTCAATACCAAACTGAGGGACACTGGTCAGCATTGTGTAGGAAAGCTGTCCATTTTGACCCATGTCTCTGTCAAATGCAGTGATGATAATAACGTCCACACCAATGGCTGAGTTTTCTGAAACAAGAGCGGAGAAGCTGTCCTGATAAAACTCAGGGTCATTGTCATTTGCATCCTCAATAATCACAGTGAGTAGTCTCCAACTGGACATCTGAGGAATGCCCAGATCGTAGATGGTGATATTAAGGAAGTATCGATCCAATTGCTCACGGTCAAGTGGCTGCAATACTGTTATCAACCCAGTTTCTATGTTGATATTGAAGCAGTTTCCTTTATTTCCATCAGCTATGGAAAAAAGAACATGGCCATTGAAGCCTGTGTCGTCATCTCGTGCTCGCACCTGAAATACACTGGCACCAACAGCGAGGTCTTCTCGTACTAGAATATTGGTAGGCAAGGCCTCAAACTGTGGAACCTGTTTGTTCATAGAAAAGAGGTCTGCATATCTCTCATTTGGTCTTGGTCTAGTCATGGCAGACACTTTTGAGATCATGTTTTCTGCCAACAGCTGGGCTACCCTGGTCTCTCTGCAGTTGAACCCACTGGGTGGCATCCTACCTCTCAACACAGATACATTAACAAATGTAGGATCAGAAAACATCTCTCCATCTGTTGCAACTACTTTCAGGTTGAATATGTCCATTTTTAAATTATCCACTGCTAATGAGCTTTTCAATGACAAAGCTCCAGAGTCTGGATTTAAGTTAAAATAATCTAACTCATTCCCAGACAGTATGTTATACTTCACCATTCCTAGGTCATCCATGTCTACAGCTGACAAGGTGACAATTGTCTGGTTGATGGGGAAATCTTGGCTTATCATGCCCCTGCAAGAAATCTTCTCAAACAGAGGCCGATTGTCATTGATATTTATCAGATGAATTGTGACATTGACCTCACTTTCCCTTCTGTAGGGTGAACCCCAGTCAGAGGCCCGCACCGCGAAAGTATAAACATCATCTGATGACTCAAAGTCTAAGTCTCTTGTGATCCTCACCTGTCCTGTGTCCTGATCTATGGTAAATGGAAGAGACTGCTCACCGCTGATTGTATGGGTTACACACCCATTCTCTCCTTTATCATAATCCACAGCAGATACTACAAGAACAACAGTGCCTACAGACAGACTCTCATTGATTGCAATATCAAATAATGGCTTGTTGAACACTGGAGAATTGTCATTGGCATCCTCTATGGTGATCTGGACCACTGCTCGCTGCTGACTGATAATATCAACTACCTCTATCTCCATGAAATCCTGTGACAGTTTTGTTAGCTGCCTTGTGGTCATAATAACACCAGTAAAAGGGTTTATATCAAAGTACATTGGATCTACAAGGCTGCTGAAGCTGTAAATGACATTCAAAGGAGCTGGGGAGATTTTCACCACCTCTACTATAGTGCCTGGGGGGGCTATTTCACTCAGCTTGACTATATAAATATCTTTCTCAAAGTTTGCTAACACTGGGTCTGGCTTTGTAACCAACAATTGCACAACTTGGATATTAGAAAGCCTAGGAGGTATACCCCTGTCTTTAGCCTGGAAGGTTAAATTGCATCCATAAGGGAATGCATCCCAGTTGACCAGTTCAGATGTTTTAACCAAATACTCATTCCCAACTAGTGATTGATCAATCACAAACTGTTTAAAAGGGTCACCCTCAATGATGGACACCCACTCTAAATCCCCAGACAGCCCCTCGTCTTTGTCCTCCACAGTCACTATGGCATATACTGGGTCCTTGTCTGCCTGTGATGGAATGACAGCAACTGCACTAAGAACAGGAGCAAATTCATTAACCCGCTCCACAGTAAGGACCAGCTTAGCAGTGCTGCTGATACCATTGTTCCCATAGAGTTTCATTGCTCTGTCGACCACCTGCACCTCCAGTTCAAATCGGTCTTGTTTGTCCATCCTGGGCTGACCTGTCAGGGTGATGACCCCGCTGGTTGGATGAACAGCAAAGAGTTCAACTCTGTTCCTGAAGAAGTAGTAGAACTCCCCATTGGAGCCCATGTCAGCATCTGTGGCTGTTACACTTCCTATGCTGGCACCTAGAGGGGCACTCTCAGAAACAACGAATGAATAGGAGGTTGGCGAGAAGAGAGGTCGGAGATCGTTGGTATCCAAGACCTTGATATTAACTGTGGCTAAGGCCTCCAGGCCTCCTTTGGCACACGCCTTAACTATCAGTGTGTAATGATCCTGTACTTCCCGATTAAGTATGGCACCACTGCCTCCATTAGTGCGTACACGAAGGAAACAAAAATCTCCCATTACAAACTCCTCAGCCTGAAAAATCCCCTCACTGTTTCCAAACTCAATGGAATATTTTATGTCTAAAAACTGAGATGACCCAAGAATGATGCCCATTTTGACATTACTTCTAATATAGGTTCTTGCAGCAGAGTTCTCAAAGATGGAAGCATTATAGGCAGGCTGAGTGAAGAGCAGCAGACCTTGTCCCACCCTAGGTTCTGACAGGAACTGGACATGGGCTGAGGGGAAGCAAAGGAGGAGGAGGGAGAAAATAAAATGAAAAAGAAGAGAGAATCTCAGTAGAGGAACCATATTTCACCACCGATAACTGTTCATCACTGTTCCATCACCCAGTCACCCTATATATGGAAAGAATGACAAAGAAACAACAGAAACTAGATTCAGTTGGTGAGTTGTTAGAGATGAGCATTCTCCATGCAAAAAAATTTGATAAACTATGAGGTAAAAGTTACAACGACGCTTCAGGGGCACAGCTTATTGCAACAACGATACAGTTTGCATTCAAACACTGAGCAATGCCCTGAAATGGCTCAGAAGCAAAGAATGATACGTCTTTAAACAAATCACATGAAAGCACAGCCTCAATAAAACAACATCACAGAATAAAATAATACAGATCAGTAACACTCTTTATATATGAGAGACTGCCAAAAAGACTGGGGTTTTTATACTTTAACCAGCAAATACAAGGGATGTGATATTTAAAAAGCACAGAGACACTATGATTTGAGAAACATAATTGTGCAATCAAAAATATTTTTAGAAATTTGTTGCACAAACACCTTTTGAAACTGTTTCAAAAAGTTACCATCAGGTTAAGTCAAAGTCATAATCAAAGTTTAAACCAATTTAGAGAAAGAAAAAAGTGAAAATGGGAGAAAAAAGCATTTTCTTCTTCTTTATTGTTAAGGGCTGCTGTGGACTATATAAAATGTTGTATGCATCGTCTTGTCTACAATAACCTAACCTTTTCTTATTTATGATGCAACTTCAGCTAATGATAAAATAATGAAACATGATAACTAATGATAAACAGTTTGACCCGACTTATATTGTAGCCTATAGATCAGAATTCAACGACTCAAATCAATACCCAGAGACAGACTGTCCCGGGAAATATTGGGTTGCATTTAGCCTATCGTTCATGCAGATCCAGTGAAGCTCGTCTTTTCCCCGTGCAAAATCCACGATTTATTAGGCTTAGTCTGTAGTCTGTGAATTGACTATATTGTATTGCCTATAGTCGTGACACACAGCGCAGCATATCCTACCTTTCAACGAAACAGCTGTAATCAGTGAAAGTAAATCCTTTCCCATCCTGTCGCCGGCAGTAGACTAATTACAAAAACAAGAAACGCAAAACGCGCCAGAAGTCGGTGGGGATGCGCAAAACGGAAAATTAATGTGCACATATCCCGTTAGGCAGTTGTCTACCAGGCTGCAGCCATCCTCGTAAAACTAGACAGCTATTGCTCCAATTTCATGCACTTGACTACTGTAATCCCGAGCGCAGTGGGGTATTCCGGCTTTATCTATAGTTGACACAGAACTGATGTTAAGAGTTAGGCGTGCGTTTGCTGGGTGGTTAAAGTCTAAACTAGTAAAGAACATGTCGCTTAACGCAAGTTTAGAATCGGTCAGCATCAGTTGTCGCCTGTGTGGGACTATGGTGCGCTCAGGATCGAAGTGGCGGTTTGGGCAAGCGCCGATCTTTGCCGAGTGTAGCCGACAACATCCGGAAGTGTCACGAACTGTGCCGCAGCTTCATCGGTGAAAGGTAGCTATAGCGACTCTGTCTCTCCTAGAAGCCCTTCAGTGGTTAGTTACAAATCTGGTCACCAGTTAAACTTCTTTTTACTCGTCACCATGTCTGTTTTGTGTTATAACAAGGGATGTGGTCAGAGATTTGATCCAGAAAATAACCCAGACGGTGAGTAGTATTTAGTTTACTATCGCGGTGTTCAGTAGTCTGATAGCAAGCTGCATTCTGTTCGTCTAGAAATTTCTGCACCGAGCAGGCCTTTTGGGCACATGTAAGGTTAGCTAGCTAACCTTAACTAACCTGATGCTATCTGGCTGGACCTAACACAGTGGCAGCTTTATTCATTAATGCAGCTGATAACTTAGATAGCTAACGCCGATAACACGTGGGCTTGTGGTGGCTTAACGATGTTGTTAGCATTTTAAGCCCCTGTGATTAGCTTAGCAGGTTAGAGGCTAACGTTAGACTTTACTGAGCCATCGTCACGGACAGGGCACACCTTAGGCGGTTTAAAGTTTCAGGAAAACGTCATTCTGCGTTTTTATTAAACGTTGACTTTATACAGCACATGTCATAATAAACCTAGCTATGTTGTCACGAGTGTTAGCTCGAAAAGAACGAAATCACTTTCAAAAACTCAAGATAGCGAAAACAAGTTCATCAAGCTACAAACCTGTTGATGACATAATCTATTCAAATTGTATATTTTTCAGCAGCTTTTGGAGCTATTTAAAAGTCACTGCTTCCAAATGAGTTGCCAAGTTAGTTTAAGTGTCACAAAATATAGTTAATAGCATAAATTCTGCAAAACTAAAACTGAATGTGTGGTAACTTTAGCCTGTCTCTCAAAGCTCTTGAGTCAGATTACAGGATAAAGTCACGTATTATTGAAGAGGCTTGTTGAACTAGTACTGTAGTGAAGGGTAGGTTTGCTGTTAATGTGGTGCTAAATAATCACCACAGAGGTTTAAACCATTTTATGTAGGTATAGTAGGGCAATTACAAAATTCATATTTATGAAACATCTGCCTCTCAGCACAGTACAAAGCTACAAAATTAGGAACTTAAAATAATAGAAACCCATATGAAATGTGAAGGAGCAAGATGTATTCATCAGCCAGTCTTTTTTCTTACTATAGGGATGAAGCAGGCTGAAAATTTAATAGCAAGATTATTGTGACAAAAATGATCATGGTTATCAGTATTATAACACTATTGTTAAAATTTGCTGAAAATGTTCCAAATGTACTGAACTGCAATAATTAATATGTGGTATTATATTGAAAACCACAAATAACTTTAGCAGCGTTATGCACTTTTTGTAGATCAGGACAAGGGAGCAGTAGCATTACTGGGTTTGACTGCTGCATTCCTACTCAGTAAACAAGGGAATAGCAAATTTATAACTATTATTATTTAAATCACAAACACCGAAATTTTTACCATGGTTCACCAAGAAACCAGAAACCGTTTCATCCCTATTTCTAATTACCAGAAGGGCCTGTAGCTGAGGAAAGCTCAAGTATATTTTGAATCCACGTTGTTCGCTACCAGCAGTTATCATTGAACTATGAACATGAGAGCAGCCTCTTCAGTAACCTGGGACTTCACTTAGAAATCAGGACACCTGACAAATGTAGTCATGATATGTTTACATTATCTATTCCATCCAAAAACAGTAATACATTCCTTGATTTAATGTAACCAAATATGTCACAAGGCAAGATGCAATTTAACCACTAGTCATGAATGAAACATCTATATGTCCTCCAGATAAACAGAAGAGGCTAATGTTACAGGGTTGGCACAAAGTTGATGACATACACCATCCTGGTTATATGTGTGAAATACAGAATTTGTCCTCTTTCATTTAGCTGATAACATATACAAATTAAATCAATCACTCACTGTTCTCTTTATGAAAAAGTGTGTGCACTTCCAGAAATGCAGTACCCACAACTACTAGGAGATTCTCTTACATGGGGTTGTATAAAGATGAGGTCACTGGCATGATAACGTGCTTCTTGAACTTGATTCACAGGTTTTCAATGGTATTTAAGTCTGGAGACCACAGTATCAGACCACATAATCTTGCTCCTTAGCATATTCCAAGCGTGCTGCCTTGTGTCTAGAAGTAAGCAATGGCTTCCTGCGTGCTTTTCTCCCCAACAGTCCAGACTTGTGCAGACTACACTTGACTGTAGAGATGTAGACCTTTATTCCAGTTGTGTCTAAGGGCTTTTTCAGGTCCCCTGCTGCTTGTTTTGGATTCTTACGTAGCTCTCTAGCAAGCTTCCTAGTGCCTCTTTCAGTTACAGTATCACTGAAAACCTGTGGATCTATTTGAAGAGGGCTGTACATAGCAGACAACCAAGCAATCTGGTTATTATTTTACTATAACTTTCTTTTTAAACCCTTCCTCATCATTTCTGTTACTTCTGTTGATGAAGGAACATTTGTACTAGCTGAATGTGCATTAAATATTATGTTGAGGAACAAAAATAGTTTTGATATTTTTGCCATTTCAAAGTAATATGAAGCCACTGATCTAAATATAATTGAACTTTCAAGATAGTAATATTGTCTGCAGCTCCCATGCCAAACCCTCAGTCAGTCCTTTACCTCCTTTCATCAGAAATGGCCCCCTCTGTCTTCAGGTAATGTAACATTGTGTATTGCCAGGTGCTCAGTGCATGAGTCAAGTCTCATTTGCATTTTAATAAGATGCCTCTTTTCATAACAGTAGAGTATATTATCATTACCTGTTGGGGTGGGTATCTAATACGGATATCTAAGGCATTAGCGCAGAAGAGGCGCCGGCCATACTGTAAGGAAAATGTTTGATTTATGGTGTCACCCAGCAAAATGTCTTTATTCATACCACAGTGATTTGTCTTCTAGGGCAGTAAAAAAAAAGGACATTTAAAAATCATGCATTCAGGGCATATCTCAAACGATAATTTGTCAAACTTTCTGAGGGTATCCAAAGTGTAATATACCCATTTCTTTAAACATGCATTAATATAAAAATTCCATGTACAGTATAATGATTTTATGTCAATTTCTAATATGATTTTTGGGGTGGGGGTGGGGTGTATGTTGTTCTATGGATGAAAGGAGAGTTGAATAAATATGTATACATCTATTGGCCATTCTAAAAAATTATATATACACACACATATATAGTACACTGCAAAAGGACAAATGCTAATCATTTGGTTCATTTTATGTACAAGGTAATTAACTAAATAGTCCTAGAGACAGAGAGCATTTAGGCGACAGCCACACAGGGTTTCTTTATGAAACTAAAATTCATTAAAAGTTAGCCAGAAAAGCTATAACACCATAAAGCCATAAACAGTTGAGCTTGTGTCTCATTCAATGCTGGCACAGTGGGAACTTTCCCAATATCTCCACATATTTTCCTTTTGAATTAATTGGAAGTTGTTTTGCTTTCACAGATGGCTGCACCTATCATCCAGGAGTCCCAGTATTCCATGATGCATTGAAGGTAAGAGGCTTGATCGTGCATAGATAGCTTGTGTCCTGTTATCTGGTCAAAGTTAATGTTTCTGCAACTTCCTTCAGGGGTGGTCCTGCTGCAAGAGAAGAACGACTGACTTTTCAGACTTCCTCAGCATTGTTGTAGGTTTTGGTCTCTGTTTTAATCCATACTTTTTATCCTCCATGACCCTGTTGTCTGTTCCTTTTATTGGCATTGACTGCCACCTTTGCTGTGGTTATATTATTTGGGAGTCTTTTAACACAGTGACTTTCTCCTCACAGGGCTGTACAAAAGGTCCCCATAATAAAGAGAAACCGCCTGAGCCAGTAAAACCAGACGTGACATCATCAGGAGAAAAGAAAGAGGCAGATGACCAAAAACCAAAGTTTAACGAGTACATCATCTCTGCACCGAAGCCTCAGGAGGCTATATGCAGACCGAGGTTGTATAGTCGGCTTCAAATATTTTTACGTTTTTATCAGTACTACAGGAACACCCCAAGGTTTTGTTATTTGGGCAGTGTGCCCCCCAGTTAAAGCAGAAATATTTTTGAAGATAAAAAGGTTTAGCCTATAATAGAAACATTTAATTATGTTAAAATGTATTCTTTAAATTGTAGTTAAAGAAAATAAACAGGCCAAGAAGACCGAGCTTTAGAGTTGTTTCATGACTACTATGTTTATTAATGCTACAGTGCTGATGAGCCGATGGTGAGATTGCAGCAAAAGGTCTCTGCCTCTCTGAAGCAGGCTCTGGAGAAGCTGAAGCTGGCTGAAAATGCAACAGAGGATAAAGGTGTGAGAGCAGAACTTTATCACCCCCATGTCTTTGTCCTCTTTACTCTTCCATGTTCCTTTTTTAGTCCCCTTAGTCATAGAATACCTTCCACTTATTGTTATAGTACACAGGAAGGTCATGTTGACAGTGGAAGTTAATGGATGGCCACTGGGAATTTGACCTCACCTGTGTCATTCATCTCAGTAAACACTGACAGGCACAGGACAGCACATCATAACGGTGTATTTTTTTAGATGCTCTTTAAAGTATGTATGGCAGTTGTTTGTCTCTCTGTTTTTCCAGAGGAAGATAGTGATGAGATCAAGATTGGAACGTCCTGCAAAAATGGAGGGTGTACTAAAGTATGTGAATGTCTCTCAAATATGTAATAGTATTTAATAATAATATGTATCATGTCCTTTTTAGGCTTTGTAATTCACATTTGATTTGAAAGATTCTTTAAAAACATGAATCACAAACAAATCAAAATGATCCAAGTTGATCCTGATAAAGAACTGATAACATCCCAAGAGAGCTCACCACTCAGGGTAAATGGAAATAGATGAAGCAGCACCCCAAGATTGGAACATAAATTGTGAGGAAAATTTGAAATGACAGGTTTCTAGAAGCTTGCAATGCTTCTTTAATGATTTACATAATTGTACTTTAACTGATTTGATTGAAGGCCATGAGAGATTCTCTCAAGGGCTGCCTGCTTTTAGTTGATTAATCAGTTGGCAGACTATACATTTTTTACTTGGATTTTTTTCTTTATTAGAGAAAAATGTATCCCTTATTGTACTTTCTCCTCTATTATTACAGTAATATTAAAGAAAATGCATTGTTCAAAATATGCTTAATAATCATCTGCAAAGCGATGGCAACACAGGAGAAATAATTAGTTGTGAGTTAAAATAACTAATTATGAATCCTATGACTATTAGCTAGGAATTTCATTAGTTGTAGATAACCCAAGTGCATGCATGTGCAGTTTAACTTTACATGTATTTTTGATAATAAAACAATCTGTTTCCGTCTACTGAACCACACTTTTGTTGTCCTCTTCAGAGTTTTGAAGGCCCTGCAAGTGATTCTGATGTGTGCTTATACCACTCTGGCTGTCCAATCTTTCATGAGGGGTTAGTATAAATAGTCTTTTTTTACCTTTATTATAAGGAAATCTTTGAATTCAAGCTTAAACGCTTAACGCTTCCATCTCTGCATTGCACTGTATTGGCATATTCTGGGATGTATGGTGAAAGAGTGGTTAGCGCTGTCGCCTCCCAGCAAAATAGTTCCGGGTTCGAGCCTGGGGTGACCCAGAGCCTTTTTGCAGAGTTCTCTCTGTACCTTTGTGGGATCTCTACAGGTACTCCGGCTTCCTCCCACAGTCCAAAGACATGCAGCTTAGGTGTGTGCGGTTGTCTAAGTGTCAGCCCTATGATAGACTGGTGACCTGTCCAGGATGTACCCCACCTCTCGCCCAATGTCAGCTGAGATTGGCTCCAGCCCCCCCGTGACTCTTTTCGGGATAAGCGCTATAGATAATGGATGGATGAATGACAGATATTCTCTGGAAATTAAAAAAAAATAGTGTAGAGCAACACTAGTATCTTCCTGTTAGTTTTCCCTTTCATCATGTTTACTGTTTCTCTTGAGCGACAAATGATTGACTGTTCAAAATCCAGCGGGTGCACGTCTCTTTTCCATCTCCAGGATGAAATACTGGAGCTGCTGCAAGAGGAAAACTTCCGACTTTAACACCTTCCTCTCTCAAGAGGGCTGCACCAAGGGGACACATCTATGGAGGAAAAAAGATGCGGTAGGTGTACCCAATTGACACAAGTGATCATTTATGCGTGCAAGTCTGTATGAGAGAGCTTCAGCTGTGCCTCCATCTAGTGGTGTCTTGTAAGCACTTCCATATTGGAGACAATGAGACTGACTGGCAGAATTTTGAGTTTGTGTTTTAAATGATCTAAATTTGGCTTTATTAAATCTCCTTGCAGGGTAAGAAAGTGGTTCCATGTAGGTTTGACTGGCACCAGACCGGGACACAGGTCATCATCTCTATCTACGCCAAGAACACTGTCCCAGAGCTAAGCTACGTGGATGCAAACAGCACCACGGTAGTCTGTCACATTTCTGATCATATTTAAACTGCTTAGTTTTGGATTGTTTTTTTTTTTTAACTCACTGTCTCTCCTCCTTTAGCTCAACATCCATGTTATATTTGAGGGAGAAAAAGAATTTGAGCAGAACATTAGCTTGTGGGGAGTAAGTACATCACTTTCACTTATTTTCTTTTGCCAGTTTGATTTGAATTAACTAGGTTAATCTAAGAGCTGTTTTTCTGATTATTTGTTTAGCCCTATTATAGGATTTTATTTGGCAGAATGAGAATTTTCTGCAAATACCAGTGGCGGGCCGTCAGGGCCAGCAAGGCCTTCTCTGCTGGCCTAAACACTATTAGAAGCACTGACCTACATTTACAACTGAAATTCTAATATTTGTTCCATGAAATTGTATTAATTTATTCCCAACAGTCTGTTCTCTTCATTTCGTAGTATTTCTCTTGGCTGCACCGCTTCCAGTACGTGTATGTGAATGTTAGATTTTTTGTCCAATCAGATTTCAGCCTCTATGTGTTGCCATGTCAATCTAATCTGCCCAGGGCCTTCAGAATCAGAAGTGCTGGCCCATGTAACTTAAACTATATTAGCAATGGGACTGTTTCTTTAACCAATCAGATTTCAAATTCGCCTCACAGGGCCAGCTAGCTGGCCCACAATGATTAGTAAAAACAGTATTCAACCTCAATACGTGAAATACCTCTCTCTCTGTAATGCCACACTTTATTATATTGCGTTTTTGTATAGCATTGATGGTTTCTATAATTGTGACGTACAGTGGTGGTATTAAGAGGTGAATTAAGTCGGGTAAGTCTCCACTGAAGGCCCAGGTACCAAATGCACGGCCCGCCACTGGCAAATACAAAATATCTAAATACAGCTATACCTGGTTACATTATGATAGCAGTCCTGCAAACCTTTTTTCTGTAAGACATTTTTGCCACCAGTTTGTCAAGACATTCTCTTGTCACACTCCCTCCTGTCTTGTAGGTGATAGATGTGAGTAAAAGTATAGTAAACATGATGGCAGCCAAGATTGAGGTAGCCATGAAGAAGTCCGAAGCCATGTTATGGGCCCGACTGGACCTCCCTCCCCCTGTCACCCCGCCCAAGGAGAACGAGAAAACTGAAGAGTCTGATAGTGAGGATGAAGATGAATGATAAGTACTAAAAATAAAACCATAGTATCTATTTTTAGCTGAATCTAAGGCTACACAGTCCATTCATTACCTCTTTAAAGAGTTGTCTCTTTTTCTGTCAAGGACTTTTGGCCTCCTCAACATTTGCAGAATGCTTAGTAGTTTTTGAGGTGACTTCTTCAGTTCCTTTTCTTATGTAGGATGCTATGGTAAAAAGTATTTTTTACAACGTTTTTCACTCACGTCCTGGTTGATAATAGGGATGAACACCAACTTTTATTAGCCTTTTACTCAAGTGACACCATGACACACGTGTCAATTGCACTGAATAAGATAGGTGTGACAGTACTTAATTTCACACCCTTTCATGTGACTGCTCACATCAAGTCATTGTGATGGGCTGCAGTTGTGACCACTTCAACAGCCTCTGGTAAAACATTAGTCCACCTTTGCATTTCCATTTGTTTGTGTTCTACTTCACATGTTAGAGGTGTTATTCGTACTGTTTATATATAATTTTGTCATTCCATGCTTTAGTTTTATGAATTGTACAAATTATTGAGTTGTTTCATCCACCAGTGTCACATCAGAACGAATACTGTCTTCATAGGTGTACACTCAGCGGCCACATTATTAGGTACACCTGTACAATTGTATGCACTTAAGTGCAACATTTCCACCTTAACATCTGTGTTTATGAAGCTTAATGTTTCAGTTTGACCAGTTGAAACTCACAAATGTATAAATTCAGTTGTGTTTATTATTGAGGTCATAGTTAAAGGTGTTGCTGTACTGGACTACATTATTTTCAGATGTGTTTATATTTTTGTCCTCTCCAGTTATATGAATTGTACAGGTAAGGCAAGGCATTGCTATTTATAAAGCACATTTCATACACAGAGGCAAGTATAAACAGTAACAGCATTAAAACCAGATTAAAATCATTTAAGACAAAGTGAAGATAAAACATTAAAATGAAAATAAGAACAAAAAGGTCTGAAACATTATGTGTACCTAATAAAGTGGCCGGCGATTGTATAACCAGAATCTGTGATGATGAGGCTGCTATTTGTAAATTGAATAGGAAATGTCTACACTTGTATAATTATGAGTTTATTCTGAATACATTGTCATACAGCAGCTCCTTAGGACTCCTAAATTTAGTTGCTATATTCATTTATCAACTACCTTTTTCACAATTCAAATTTCTTCGTTTTTTTTTTTTTTTTTTTTTTTTTTTTATAACAAATAACCAAAAGAGTAAGTTTTGCTTCCAAATAATCAATGCTGTACTTATCTCTTCATTTTTGTCAAAGCATAGTAACGTTTTAAGGGAGAATGTACTGTAATATCTGAAAAGTATTTAAAACAAAGTACTGTATTATACAAATGCAATGTTAGCATGTGTCAAGGCTCAGAATGTATGAAGTAAATTTGGCAGAATGAGATCATGAGGGAACCAATTTATTTTACCAAAAATAAACTTTAGTGTTGAACTTGCAGGGGTGATCTTTACATTATGCAGAGCTGGCTGTGTCATCACATTGTTGTATGGTAGTTTTGGTGGCTGGTTTCCACATCATCATTGCTCCAGATAAGTGGCTACTTTTCTGGGAGAGCAAATACATTCTCCCCCCTCCCCACATGCAGCCTGTATATCCGTTTTGTGGCGAGAACAGCCGTAGCTGTGCCCACTGCTACAATTCCTCCCAACAGCCCTGTGAGGGGAAGGCCCACACATCCTGCAGCTCCTCCAGGTACGGATGCATGGCTTCTGCTAGCCTCAGGCCTGGAATGAACAGAGAGGTGGTCACAGGACAGATGGTGAAGTGTAGGAGTAAAACAAAGATACTAAGTAACCTAAATCTGATGGTCAGGATATCTTTATGAGATCAGGAATGTCGGTTTCCTAAAGAGATTCAACGGTGGGTTTCTTAAAAAGTAAAGGGGGCATTAGTAGAGATGACAAAAATCAACCAGTTCAAAAAGTAAAGAAAAAAATAATAAACTCCACTCATACAGGGACCTACTGGCATCCAGCAGGTAGGAGTACTCATAACCCAGGTTCTTGCTGGAAATGAAGTATCCTAGGTTTCTGTGGAGTGGCAGGAAGGGTGCCATGTGGTATTCACTGTTGTGCCCAATAGGAGCATTGGGCTGTGGATAGTGGGAAGGAGATGGTCTATGCTTCCGGAGCCACTGTTCGTAAATGATTTCATAGAAAAATAAATAAAACTGTTACTGTAACTTCAAGTGTGTAAACACACTTGTATTAAGGTGCTTGCGCCTTGAAACTTGCCCCTTCTTACCTGTCAACAAAAGCATGGTGTAGAAGGAATATAGGATCATTTGCTGAGGCCTGCACTGATGTCATGGATCCGTTCATGAACACACGGAGAGCAGCATGCATGCCTAGACCAGCACTGTTTCCTAAGCCAGTCTGAGGATCCCCGAATCCTACAAGAGGAGACGTGTCTCACCAGCAGTGTCAACTATGTCATGGTCAGCAAATCAAAAGCTTTTTTGTTGCAAAATGAGATACTGTCATCCAAAAACAAAGAATGAAATTCTTAAAGATCACCTCCAGTATTCTTCATACCTGATTAAAATAGGATAATCAGTGCTTCCAAAACACAGTGTTTAGGTCATTTTTCATCAAAAATAAATAGAGGTTTTTGTTGTTTAACCTGCAGACTATCAAACAGAAACATTGTTTCTTTAGAAAGGATTCATAAGCCACAGGCAGTCTCCACAAATGGTCTCCTACTGGGGGCTGTCTTTCTTTTCTAGGAAAGAAGAGATGTGTGAATATGTCCTGATGTACTGTATATCATGGGAAACCTCACAAGCTTCTAAAGCTCTGCTGGAGGCAGCACTTTATCAATAGAAGATGATGTTTAGCAACTTGTCATTTAGCCTTAATTGCTACAATAGTTGGATCTGTGCAGAGGTTGTAACCCTGATGTTAATGCATACCCATATATCAACTGACGTATATATTTGCAAGAGTCACCTGAGGTTTAGTGATGCACAGTATTAGTAAAGTCAAGTATCAACACTGGATAATCCAATTTCTGGATGATTCTGATTATTTGTGACCCTCAGTTTCACTTAATTCCCCTTTTACTGCACACCAAATAGTTACAGAGTTACAATATTAAACTGTATACAATTTGTTATTCATATGCAAATGCATTCAGTGGTGAATGTAACTAACTGCTGTACAGTTTTGAAGTATGTGTAATTAAGTATTTTAATCTTGTGCTACTTTATACTTCACTACCTTTTAGAACCAATATTATACTTTTTACTCCACTACATTTATCTTATAGCTTTAGTTACTACTTAATTAATAAAACTAAATACAGTAAATGGGAAATTCACAAGCAGTAATGCAAATGATCAGCTAGTTAAAATTAGCTTTCCAGCTTAAAAAGATGAACACAATAGTGTCTCAGTTATTACAGATCAATAATATGAGACCCTTTATGTCAAATGTGGAATTCTACATAAGAAGTACATTTAGTACTTTAAGTATATTTTGATGCCAATACTTTTGTACTTGTGCTTAACATTTTGAACATAGGACTTTTACTCTTAACAAAGTATTTTTACACTGTTGTATTGCTGCTTTTACTTTAGTAAAGGATCTGTGTACTACTGAATGCCTCAGTAGTAATCCACAAGTTACACTGACAACACCAAACAATGGGAGCATATAAATGCATAGAGAAGTTGCGTGTAACCAGCATGTTATAGTGACAAAACAGACGGCATACTTTATTAACAAAATGAGAGTGTGGAGTAGCAATGGAGGGCTGCAAATGCAATTTTTATTTCTTCATTCATTTAAAATTTGTTTTAGACCTGTTCAGTGCTGTGAATGAGTGAGCACTGATATTAATTTCACTTGAATATCCAATCCATGGTTATGGTCTTTTAGGTAAACAAAAAAGGTCTAAGGTCACACCTCAGAACTGCATTATTACTCATAAATAAAAATTACTGTAGAAGAAAGAAAAGAAAGAGGCTGGGGGAGTTACTTGAGTGCTTACCATCCAAGAAGAGAAGACTGACCCTGGGCTGAGAAGACTGGGATCCTGGGGGTTCCGGTCCCCCATCAGGTCGTCCGTGTACACGTCACATATCTGGATGTCTCTCCAATCCCAGTACGGGATGGTGAAGCTCAGGTCACCAGTCAGCTTCCTGATTTCATGCTCCCAGTGCAGCAGATATACACGGTGCCATGGGAGAAATGCAGGCGCCCAGTGGCCAAAGTCCACGTCGGTCCACACGTTCCCCGGCCACCTAACGGTGTGCTACGAGACAATGCATCTACACAAAAACATCAAACACAGACATGTTGGCAAACATTGGATTAGAGCCATTCTCCATCTCCCTGTAGGTCCCAGTGGCAACAACATAGTCCCTGCTGACAGTGTGTTTGGCTAAGTTCAGGTAAGACAAAAGTCTGATCCTCTCAGTTCTTGACAGGTGAAATATGTTCCTTCTGACAGACTCTCTCCTCTCACTGCAGTTCACCCCGAAGTAGCCAAACTTACAGTCAGCGCAGTTGAAGCCCATGAAGTTCTTTGTGCACTGGCAAGTCCGGTTGTAGAAAACCAGGGGCCACTTCTCTCTGTCATCCAACCCGGAGAAGGGGTACTGTGGCCCGTCGGGCTGGTCCGATACCTCCACATCCTGACAGAAACCTCGGCCTGAATTGGTTCCACAAGCCGAGCCATCCCCATCCCAAAGTGGACAGCATTCCTTGGTGAGCAAAGCTTCACGGGTTGCACATAGACGAGGGAACTGTTGATAACAGGGTACAAAATACAATATGAAACTCAACGATATCAGTGGCCACATTACTGCAAGGTTCTAAGGCAGCAACCAAGACACTAAGTAGTGAACCAAATATGCAGCGTAAGAAAACCCATGTGATGCTTTCTCAGGCTTAAATACTTCAGGGTCTTTTCTGGGTATCCCTGCCTCTTTATTGAGCCAGTCACATGCCACTTATCCTCAGGGTGAAGCTTATTTACAGACATCTCAAGCCTGCAGCGAAACTCCTTTCACGAATTAAACTTATAAAACTTAATTCATAAGAGATTTGCAGTATTTATGGGGCTCAGTGTGTGTAGTGAAAGTGTAATTTCATGATTTTGAGCTATCCTGCAGCCTAATAATACAACTGAAAACATACGATCTATGTATCATATGAAAACAAAAAACCCTGTCATACAAAGGCAAATAAATAATTCCAAGCTCACATCACATTTGTGGAATTTCGTTTCTGACTGTATGTGTCATCTGTACAATGCAAACTGAGGTAGGAACTAAAAACAAAGGGTTTATTGATGGAAAGTTGTTGAATAATGTCTAGTAAAGCAAGCTACAACTTAAGCCAATACTTTGAATTTGTTCAGTGCTTTTTCAGAAGAGCATTTTAAGGTGTTTAGAACTTACTTAGTACTGCTGTCTCACATGACTGCATGCACCACTGTGCACACTGCCTTTAACCTTTAGTCAAATGATTATGGAATTTATGGCATGTGATCTTCATAGGACTTTTAACACTAAGTCTATGACAGCGAATACATACTTCCCCACTAGAGGGCGGCATGTAACTTTTTGAAATGATGTTTCTGAAGCCATATACTGTAAAAGCTGCGTCAACCAATAGCAGAAACCAGTAAAAGTTCTAAAAGTGTGCCTATACATACAGGTCGGTGGTTAACAATACTGATTTTGTATGGCAGGTCAGGGTTCAGTTCCCTGTTGGGGCACAGTAAATTGTTTTGTGAGTGTGATTTAGATCCCTGTGCAGTCTCAGTCTCATGTGACTATGGAATGAATGTCTTCTTGAATAGCAACCAATATATTGTAGCCTATTACAAGATCCTGATTTACGGATCTCGTAATTATGACCAAACATTAAAAGTCGTCACACTAACCAATGACAGAGACCAGTAAAATAAATGACACGTCTCAATTGCACTTTATGTTATTGACCACCAGATGTCCTGCTCGAGCACTGTGTCATTGAAGCCTGAACCATTTTTTGAATAAAGTGTCGAAGCTTCAACAAAGCCTCGATCAGCCAGCACTATTTGAAACCCCTTTTTATTCATAATAAATATTAGTGGTTTTAGGTTCTATTTAAAAATAAATGGGAGGAATAAGCCTAAAACATGATTTTCTTTTCCCTATTCCTTCTCCTCAGCACACAGTAAAGCTGCCCTTTAGTGGTGGCACACAGCATTACACCAATCTGTGACCCATTACTGCCTGCTAGTCAAATGAATGGCAATTTAATGGTAGAAATAGCAATTTGTATGTAAAAACCGGAAGGTTGAGGGCTGAAATCTCGGTGCCTGCAGTCCACGTGTCGAAGTGTCCTTGGGCAAGACACTGGACCCCCCAAGTTGCTCGTGATGGCGGCGTGTATGCACGCAGCGGCCCAGGGCCCTTGGCTCCAACCAAAATTTCATTGTACGTGTCCCTATGTTACAATGACAATAAAATAAAGCTTCTTCTTCTAAAAACGTTTTTGAACATGTGAATAAAACCTGTGAATAAATTAGTTTACACAAAAACACTGAAAACAAGCGTGTTTGTGAACATCTGTGTACAGGCAGAAAGTAGCAAACTGCACATACAACTCTATCTAGGAGTACTGAGGTTTAGTGTGAATCACACCTCAATCTGATTGGACAAAGATCAGGGGATATAGGATACAGAGCACTTATTAGGTTTTTAGAGAGCACACGGTTAAGCAAGATAATATAATGAGTGAGGTTATTGTGTTATGGGCCGTTGTGGACCACACTCCAGTCTAGAAGGTGGCGGTAACGCACCTAAAGCTGTTTGCCAACCGTCATTATACAACAGAAGAAGACGAAAAGCGAGAATGTGATTGGACAGGGGCAGGCCAATCACAGAGCAGAGTCAAATTGTCCAATCAGTGTGGTAGCTGGGTTCTATAAGGTAGTCTCCGGTGGTGCAGGAGCTGTAGTTACTCAGGTGGGTAGCATTAGAAAGTTGTAGGAAATCACAGTAAACATTTCATCTGTTACGTTCTGTATGTAGGCAGCGTGCAGGTGCTTATCTGTCAGTTCTCCAAATGTATGTTTTCTATTCCAGGTGCGTTACTATATCTAGCGTTAGCCGAATGCTAATGTAGGAAGTTAGCAAACCTCTGCTAGCAAGAAAATCTTCAGCGGTAACGTTAGCCGTCCAGTCCAGTATTTGCTTTGGTTTTACATGCGCCATTAATATAAGTAGCTTTCATATTTAATATTAATGGTGCAGCTCAATAAATAAACGCTGGCCGATTTGGACCTCACCGGGTCTTCATCAGCAGAAACTTAAATTGTTTGCACCTGTATGTTTCCGCCCTGATGAAGAGCAGGTGAGGTCCAAACCGGTTGGCGTCTTTTTACTGAGATGTCCCGTTACAGGTAAGTGTGCTACATTCAAAATGTTGCTTAAGTAGTGGTGCAAAGGCGTTAGCAGTGAAATATACCTAAATTGCCAAAAGTCAAAGTAGTCACTGTTGGTTTGTACAGGTTTCTGACTAATTTCAAAAGTGTTTGAACAACTTTGATATACATTGTCATGAAAATTCTCAAATTTTTTTGTAACATGGAACACAATGTAGTTGTGTATTGCTTTAGTAAAAACTGCTGTATTTGTGTAATGTTTATGGCAAACATTTTTATAACCTAGTGATTGACCATTGCTCTCAATGAAACACAGCAGGTTGATAGCACAGCTGGCAAATAGAATAATCCTTTAAATTCACTGTGGATAAACTTGTGAGCAACTCTGAGTAAGTTCATGGTGTTAACTCTGTCACAGGTCCTGATCATACCAGATGGCCAGAAACAAGCCAACCATGTCTTGAGGTCTTCCTTGATGCTGTAAAGAAGCCTGACTTTACATCCAGGTACGACCTTGTTTTTGATAGTTCTGTGCACTTTTCACTTGGCTACATCAGTGAGTTTTATAGCAGTAGCTTAAAGTATTCTCTAAATTAGGCTTTATAGTAGAAACTGCTTTTCAGTCATCCTTGAATTTATTTGTATACTTAAACACTTGCAGCTTAATTTGATTGCATGCTTCAGTCCTCCACACTTGGAATGAAATAGTATTAATCCATTTTCTCCCACAGCCTCCAATCCAAGATCTTGACATTGTTAGATGAACCCTTCACTGAACAATGGAAGACTCAGTCCTGTCAACCCCCCAGGAGGACATTGAGTTAAGAGGAACCATTTAAGCCACAAGTTTTTATAAAAATTTTCCTCCAGCTCCCTCAGCATTCCCCGGAGGAAGTGTCTGGAGAGGGGGAAGTCTGGGCCTCTTTGCTTAGACTGCTACCCCGTGACCCAGTTCTGGATAAGTGGTCCTCTCTCCATGTTTCCAGATGTGGCTCATACTGGAGTACAGTGAACTAAATCAGTGCTTTACATCTTTCATATTAAAACATTACAAGTTTGAGTTGTAATAGGTTTTATTGGAGAGCCCAGAACAAAGCCTAAACATTTTTATTTATTTATTTTTTAAAGTGGCACTGTTCAGGTCTTCTGGTTCTTCAACTGCAGTGAAGGACTAAAACTTGAACCTGTGCCTTATTTTATTAAAAGCAGAACCAGGAAGTTTACATTGTAATAGCTTTATTGAAAAGACAAACAAGGCTGAAAATTACACAATTTCAAACCCCTTTTTTCAAATGCTGCTGAAGCTTGGGATCCACCATGGGAGTTACACCACAATTAAGACTTGTCATGTAAAGAGAAGTCTTCACCACTGTGGTCCAGCCACATGCAGTACAACAGCATGGAGAAAGATGTGGGGTACTCTTTGACCCATCTTAGCCAAAACTTCAAGTGGCTGAGCTGGATGGAGTAGATGAGCCTGCAAAAAAGAAAAGTGTAAACATGATTTCAATAAATTGTGCATTTGTAAAAAAAACTTGCTTGTCTTTATGCATGTCCTCAGGAAAGCTGTAATCTTGCCACATCTGGCAAGGACATTTGGTTAAGGATTGCCTAAGGGGAAAATGGAAGAAGCTTGAGTTTAAAGCATGTGTTCTATAATTTCAACCCATCATTTTGTTTTTGATAGGTTTGATGCATTATGAACAAAATACTTCTAGCATGCACATTTGTACCTTAGTGAGCATCCTTTTATATATGCAGAATGGGCACTTCCAAGTTCAAGTCATTATCCTTTTAGACAAATCATGGGGGGAAAAAAAATTGAAGATACAAGATGTCATCTCACCACTGTTGAAATAACAGCCGTCTGAATTACTGGTAGCAAGTCCCAAGAAAAGGCCTGACTGCTGATGTCTCTGCTGGGTTCATCACCATCAAGCCTGAAATTAATATTTACTAACAGTTCCCATTTTTGTTTACCCTCAATTTATGAAACAGACAATGCAAATTTGATCATGAACAAAGATATTCATACAATAAACCACCACCCCCATACACTGCATCCTAAAAAAAGTCAAACCTTGGCATTGCTTCCACTGTCGAAGCCTGCTGATATTTTGAATATGAATTTAAACAAAACGGGATGTTGTCTGGACTTCAATCTAAATGAGGCTCCATCTTAAACAGACGTGGCAGAAAAACTATACTCGCGCCTAAAAAGGTTTCTCCACTACAAGACAGACATCTGTGTCAAAGACCAGTGTCCTCTAAACAATGAACTTGTTGGGTGATTAAAACAAGAGGGTGCCAATGTCAATCTAGTCCAGATATATTCAATATGTAACACCGTTCAAATAACGCTGCCAGTGAAAACTACAGAGCCAGGATAGGTGACTAGTTACAGTCATTCCTAGAAGCAAGTTGCAACAATTAACTTCATTATAAACATGCTACAGCAAAACAATAGCGTACCTGAAGGCTAACCACACACGGAGCCAATTAGTGGACACACACCTGGTTTGACTTCAGCCCGAAAGGCTTCTTGCTTTTTGCCTTCTTTACACGCCAACATTCAATCCTCGCTAACACTAGATAAAGTATCCAACATGAACTTGAAATCACACATGTATTCAACTGCTTTACCTCAGAGTAACAGCTAAGCATCTACATACACGAAAAACGCGATACACTAAAATTTACTTGCAAAATATCTACAGAAAGTCAACCTCCTCACCAGTGACCGTCCGTGACCCTGTCCCCACTTCACCATCTGTCCTTTGGACGCTGTTGTCTTGCTGCTTTATAAACTCCACCCACTGACAGGTGGCTGTAACGAGCTCATCACTGTTATTCACTTCACCTGTCAGTGGCTGTAATGTTTTACCTGATCGGTGGAAATGTCATTGGTCAGAATTCCTATGGTAACGTGAGTTCTACTGCAATTTGCTGCATTCTATTTGTATTATTTTCCTACCAACATATACTTTTCATAATGGTATCTATTTGGTAATCATTTGAATGTGTTAGGTTAATGTGTAGTTTTTGTGAAATCAGTCCCCTCATTAAAATGCACATTTATGCAAATTCATATCAGACCATCTACTCTATAGATTACACTTAAACCACACTCATAAAACGATGTATCTGATAATTATCTATTTCAGTAGACTTCTTACATTGGTGGGGCTGTACAGCTTCTGTATTAATCTGTATTCAGCCTTTCTTTTCAGAGTAGAGCAGTCAGGTATTGTGTCGACAACAAGCACAGGATGGTCAGCCCCAGAATAAATCCAGTCATACCAAACCAAAAACACGAGCCAACACTAGTGGGACTCTTTTAACAGACACTGAAACTGAAAAGTAACTTCCCAGTTAAAGGGAATTCGTCTGGTTTCACGGAGCTCATGGATGGGCAGGGAACTTTAGGTGCAGTCGGTCATTCAAGCGCAGACTTTCTTAAACGAACTGTTGCGTTAATTACCTCTTATTCCTTGCGGAACTATATCATCATCATTAACCTTTCGCTAACCTACACATCTTGTTAAACATACTGTACGTCGTCTGTGCCGTTCGCCTCCTGGAGCTTTTCACAATTGTAGCTACTGTTGATGCTGTGTTGGAGTAGGAGGAGGCAGAGGCGGTGGGGGTCTCCGTGTGCGTCAGTACGCCAAAACATGCTCCAGTAACAAGCTTTATTATCTGCTGCTATTTGCAGTGAGCTGTAACCAGGTGCCAGCCTGAGCTTGAGCAGAAAACCCGCAGCGCTTTTCTTATTGCGCTTCTGTGATGGAAACGGCCACCGAGGGAATGGAATCTGCGAGGCAGCAGGCAGAAAAGAGGTAGGTTGAAGCTGCAGTTCGCGTATTTGCAGCGCGCAATAATAATGATATTTCAGTTGAAATAGCCTGTTCCTAGTTGGCTGGACCACCAGTCTAGGTGTCAGCTTTATCCGTGCTGCAACATGCACTTCTAAAAACAATTCAGCACCATAGACAGCAACGTGATATCATTTACTGTATAGGGAAGGTGACTTGTAGGCTTATGTAATATACATATGCTGACTTGACTGATAAAGCTTTATTGAAAAGTGTAACTGTAATTTCTGTTTAAACATACACACTGGCTTACACAGTAAGATCATGTACTTCCTACCCCTGTTCTTTTCAGCAATCTAAGTCGTACCCCTGGCACTACAAACTCCAAGCCAAAGACAACACCACCAGCTGAGCCTCAACTCTAAGCGGACAGAGGATGGCAGGCAGTGCAAGAAGGAACACAGGGATGGGAAAAGGACTGAGGTTGTATGTAAGGCTGATGGCAATGAGTGTGTTTCTGGGAGCTGATCTGATCTCGCTGGGCCTTAAAGCTGGCACTGGGGTCAGTGCCCAGAACGAGAGAAGGGTTCTGGCACATATTCCTGGTGACATAATCATAGGAGCACTGTTCTCTGTCCACCACCAGCCACCTGCACACAAGGTACAGTACATACTGTGTGTTTACTCATTTTCTCCATGAGTGTATGGAGCATGTGATAATTGTTAAACCAGTTGTGTTGCATTTCGCTCAGGTCCACGAGAGAAAGTGTGGTGCCATACGTGAGCAGTATGGGATCCAGAGAGTAGAGGCCATGATGCACACTCTGGATCGAATTAACGCAGACCCTGCTATCCTGCCGAATATCACTCTGGGCTGTGAGATAAGGTCAGAAACCAATTATAGAACTTCTTATAAAGTTATGTTGCTCTTGTGAAATATATTGCTGAGATTGTGTTGATCATAACACAAAGATTAATTTTGGTTCAAAAGAAAGGCTAACTTGCAACCAATTCATCCATTTGTATGAGAGACGGAGACCAGAAATACAACAAAATGCATCTTGCAAAGAGTAATTTTGGTTCAAAACAAAGGCTAACTTGCAACCAACTCATCCATTTGTATGAGATACGTAGACCAGAAATACAACAAAATGCATCTTACATAGAACATCATAGCAATCATCTGTTGCTGGTTTAAACCTATAAAATACAGTATCACACTCAGGGCAGGATGTCATACCTTTAATATACCATTTGTAAGGAGTTCATATAAGCAGGAATCAAATCAACTAGTAGTCTCACAAAGAACCAGAACATTCCTCCATAATTCCATAATCTGTACTGCTTATCCTGTTTTAATAATAATCCCTAAGAGGGCCCATTAAAATTGGTTTTTCCATATATCATACATCAATTAATCCATCCATGATCTATACCTCTTATTCCTGAATAGCGTGAGGGTGGGGCTGGAGCCAATTCCAGCTGAGATGGGGTGAGAGGCGAGTTACGCCATGGTTGCCAGTCTACCACAGGGCTGACACAGAGACAGACAACCATTCACACTCACATTTATACCTACAAGCAATTTAAGAGTTGCCAGTCAGCCTAACCTGCATGTCTTCAGACTATGGGAGCAAGTCACCTGGAGGAAACCAATTCAAGTTTGGAGAGAACATACGAACTAGAAACACCCCAGTCGGCCGCGAGGTTCCATCCCAGAACCATTTTTGCTGTGAGGTGACGGTGCTAACCACCACAGTCACTGCTGTGCTGCTCACAACCAAAACAACTGCCTGAAATTAACAGATATGTTCGGTTTCACCTTAACTAGTTTGTTACTGGAGAGCCATCATTAATGGTACAACTTTTTTTTGTTTTGCTTTCTTTATGTAAGGTTATTGATGCAGCAAGGGTTGTTATAGTACTTTCAGTGTGCTTTTATTCAATTTTCAATCATTTAAAGAAGGTGAGGGGTTTTACCAGTTTCTAAAAAGTAGGGGAAAACTGTGATTGCTGGCACATCTTACATGAAAGTAAGTGAAGTGAAACTGCACTAGAGTTAATGTTTCTTTATTTGGATCTAACAATGACTAAGTCAAATGAAACCTCAAATTAGCTTGGGCAAAATTTTGGTTTGGATGGCAGATTTCTCACTTCTCTAAAACTGTCTTAGACAAACGGTTCTTTGACAAGAATGAGGCACAGACTGTGTAGATCCATTTGGCGGCTTTCAGCTATCCTCACCTCTAATTCCCATCCTGCTTGCCAAAACAACAGTGAGAACTCAATCCTTCTACACCAGGGACTCATGCTGGCACTCTGCAGTGGCACTTGAGCAGAGCATTGAGTTCATTCGGGACACACTGGTGTCCAGCGAAGAGGAGGAAAGCCAGGCCAGGTGTACTGCAGAGGCAGGGAGCTTGCTGCTTCAGGGGAAGAAGCCCATTGTGGGTCTGATTGGACCAGGATCCAGCTCTGTGGCCATCCAGGTGCAAAATCTCCTCCAGCTCTTCAACATCCCACAGATAGCCTACTCAGCCACTAGCATGGACCTCAGTGACAAGGTGAGACCAGTTAACAAGAAACATTAACGTCAAAGTTTGAGATCATTTTCAGTGTCAGTCGTTCACATTGAATTACCAGAGCCCTTAAGATAGAAGAGTTACAAGACTAAGGGGTCAGAAATGGCAGTGAGACATCAAGTATCAGTATTGTCCTTTGTGTACAGTGAGTTTACATGGAACGAGGTTTACAACAGCCATTTTTTTAAGGATGCATATGTAACTGGCAGACCCTAACTGAAAACACCCAGACCTGTGAACATGTAAATTTCTTCCCACAGAGCTTGTACAAATATTTTATGAGGGTAGTGCCATCAGACATGCAACAGGCCAGAGCCATGGTGGACATTGTCAAGAGATACAACTGGAGCTATGTGTCTGCAATACACACAGAGGGTAAGACTGTGTATATATGTGGGTTACAGCTTTACATCTGTCATTCTATCAATCTGACATTCTTGAATTCACCTTTTATCTCTCATTCTTACTGTATTTTATTTTTGTTACCACAAGTGAAACTGTCATATTTTATGGTGCTGCTATAAGGCATAGTCTTACCCCAAAGCAACCCGTGTTCCCTGCTCTGAGCATCTGGGCAATATCAACACACCAGGTTATCACGCCTTCAAAAGATCCAACTCCTGTATAGGAAGATTTAAAAAAAATAATCTTTTGGTTGCCAAATGTTTTTCAGGATAAAACCTCATGTCATGTACATCCTTTTTATTATAAGAAAAGTGCTATGCTGCAGACTACAGTACATTTACTAGTGTTTTTGAACTTCTGTACTGGCAGTGGGATGTTGTCAAAGTGACTGCACATTTGCTATCCTATAAATGTTACTATAGTATAGGCACATTTGATTTATTTAATATAACCCATCTCACACTACCCTAACAGTCCTGTACAGGTTCACTAACTAGTTACATGACAACTAAACAAAGCAAACATTCTCTGTTCTGTCTATGATCTATGAGTTCTTAGGGAGCACAACACCTCAGTTATACTACACTGTCAAATGCAGAATAAAAAAATTAGCATTGACAGCAGTCTAATCAAGGTGAAAGTAGTTTAAAAAATGAAATACTAGCCTACCACCTAAGGAAGCATTTCACATACTGTGAGTAAAACTCACATGCAGTATAAAAGGATGCCTTAAATAGTGTCACGCCCAGAGTAAGAGTACAGTTGTAAGGCAACATTAACTAGGTGACCTACTTTCCTGCAAAAACAGCTAAGTCCAACCCCTGACAGTTCCAATAACAGAGGCAAAATTATCAGATCCTCAAGTGTTGTACTGACGTTACACCAGTTTATTTGACAATGAGCATAATCAAAAAAACTGCATCAATGTTTTCAAACCATACTATAGCAAAGTGAGCAAAGTCTCCTGGAATGGGAATAAGCAACTGCCAGATATCTAAAATGCTTTGTTAAAGGGCCTGAAAGAATTTTGTCACAGTGTCATTTGTTTGGTTTACTAGTTTTAATTGGGTACAAACCCCAGGTTGTGTGTGCATTATTATGCTACATATATGAACACCATTCCATTCATCTGGTCCCATCCAAAGGTAATTATGGTGAGAGCGGTATGGAGGCATTTAAAGACATGGCAGCAAAGGAGGGAATCTGCATCGCCCACTCCGATAAAATATACAGCAACGCAGGGGAACCGAGCTTTGATAAGCTACTGCAGAAATTACGAGGCCACCTGCCGAAAGCCAGGGTGGTGGCCTGCTTTTGCGAGGGTATGACGGTCCGAGGCATGTTGATGGCCATGAGACGACAACGCATGGTGGGAGAGTTTCTGCTGGTTGGAAGGTGAGTGGTGGATTGTGGTACGCACAATTGAAACTGACTGAAGAAAGTGTACTTCAGATTTCTTTTGTGTTATACGTACATTTTCAATCCAGACTCTCTTCAGATGTCCAGCATCACCAGACAGGATGTGTTTGTTGTCACTGGGGTCATCATTGTCCTCTCATCATCATCCTTATCATCCTCTTCATCACATCCATCAACATCTAGGAAACCAAAGGTATTTTTAATTAACTTTTTGTGTAGTATGTATGCCATGACATTTTATGAGACTGTCAAGATGTAGATTTTTACAGTGCTGGAAAAAGTACTCAGAGTGTTTAGTTAAGTAAAAATAATAAATAAAGCAGTGGTGGTTTACCAGCACGATTAAATATGCAGCATGAGACTGGGCAGGCAGTACAGACGAGAAAGTATTTAAAAACCTGAGGGAAAAATGAATGGGAAAGAGGAGATTGATTAAGCAGGAGGTTTCAGTCTCTCCAAGAATGACAGGTTTTATTTTAAGGCTTATCTCTCTGGCTCACTCTCGTCCCTGGCGTCCTTTAAATGCCTTTCCTCATTAGGAGCCACATACTGTATGTAGGCTGTCGCTCAAATCTGACAGAAGGAAAATAACCTTGAACTACATATTGCAAAACACCATACTCAGCATTACCACACAGAGCTTCCAAACAATTAGGGCCTTGTTAGATTATAATTATTTTTTAAAGATCTCTCTCCTTGCTGTTTGGATTTATGGGTAATTAGATATTGCCCTTCTACAGCTGGATGGTTTTTGCCTCACTTCGTCATCACCTTTCTTGCTATCCTTGTTAGTCGGTGCATGAACCATCCTTTTCATATCAGCCTTGAGGACTTGTCATCAGGTTTGCGTGTGTGCAGTGTATGCTTGCTTAAGTTCCATTTATAGAAAGAGAGAGAATGAAGGAGCAGATGATGGGTTTGGTTTTGTTGCCAGCACTGCTTAGGCCTATTTTGAACAGTTGTATCTAAGCCATTGTAAGCTTTACATTGACAATGGCTTAATCATCACATTATAACATCAAGTCAGTTAAACTTCAGGGATATCAATGTGGCACAGATGAAGCACAAGTGATTGTGAATCAGTTTGACCTGCACTGGCACAGATGAACATGACAACAGGTGCAATGGAGAGGCAAAAGCAAGACAACCCCTCAAAACGGAATGGCTTTGCATGTGGTGGCCACAGACAAATGTTGTCTCCTTATCCTTCCTAACTCAGTTTGTTATTCTCCTGGACTACCTGCGCAGGTAGTCCATTTACTCCAAGATGGCACAGCCATACATGCAGTCACAAGAAGGTTTGATGCGTCTCCCTGCACAGTCTTAAGAGTATGGAAGAGATACCAGGAGACCGGCCATTACATCAGGAGAGCTGGACAGGGCGGTAGAAGGGCAACAACCCAGCTGCAGGACCTGTATCTGTTCCTTTGTGTAAGGAGGAACAGGAGGGAGCACTGTGAAAGCTCTACAAAATTACCTTCAGCAGCTACTGGTGTGCATGTTTCTGACCAAACTGTCAGAAACGGACTCCATGAGGGTGGCATGAGGGCTCAGTGACCTCTAGTACGACCTGTGCTCATGGCCCAGCATCACTGGCAGCAGAATTGGCAGGTCCACCACTGGTGCCCTATTCTCTTCACAGATGAGAGCAGGCTCACACTGAGCACATATGAAAGGTGTGAAAGCACAAATCACTTCGGGCTCTATTTTTCTGAAATAGGGTACAACACTAAACGTGTGTGTACACTCCAGGCGAAAGGCACACATGGGCACACACATGCCCAAATCACACACACGTTGGGCACCAGTTGCTAGGTCCCCAAAAAGCTTTCCCGAGGTGGTTAGCAGATAGTAACTAATATTTTGAGCAGCGGACTTGGATGCACAATGTATCTATTACAGTACATGTCAGCAAAAAGCTCTGACTTTAGTTTTATTGATGAGGAGGAGGAGGAGATGAGCTGTAGCAAGGAAGAAGAGTGTGGGTCTGCCAAAATCAGATTGTCCTCCATTTTCTTTGCCAGGTTTTCTCTGTCAGGTTTTCTGCAATTGGACACGTCAAGGTGTCCTCACAGATCACTACGCCCAAGTTAAACCTTTTTTTTAAACTTCGGCACAGCGCACAGGGACGAGCTAAGCGCAGAACAGATATGTTCTCGCACTGTGCAAGACATAGACATGAATGGGTTTGATAGCAGAACGCAGCGCCCACCGCGCCCTATCTGAAAATGGCTTTACGCATGGACACTGATGAGCACCAACATTGTTTGTCCATATTTATATCAGGACTAGTTTATTTATATTATTTAAAAAATAATCTGACTTAGCACACATGGCCTATTTCATGATACACAAATTATTCAGAGTGAATTCCAGCTGATCAGTTGTGGATTTAAGGGTTAATTTTAAGTATTTCGGGTCAAAACAAGCATCAAAATTGTGCTGTGCTGCCTAATTAGAATTCACACAGTCTCAGCTGTGCCTTTCTTCCCACCTCAGTGTAAAAGCATTCATTCATGGAAGGAAAACACCAAACACACCAGTGCACAAAAAAGTAGACATGCACCCAAGGAAATAAAATGCATAATGACTGCAAAGGAGGCAGCGCGGAAATTACGCTGGAAGAAAACCAGAGCCGTTTGTGATGTAAATCATGTTGTTTAGAGCAGTTCAAAGATGTATAGTGACTAGATTGTTAAATTTTTTTCCCCCACTGTAAATTAAGCTATGGTGGGCTGGATCATATTGTCCTCAGTTCAGAGAGCTGTTTCAATTTAGAAATGCACATCCTTCCAGTTTCAAGCTTGTACTATTTTAATACTACTAGAACTACTTTTCTCAGAAAAGATCTGGCTGGAAAATTGACCAATATTGTGCATGTGTCTTCAGGTTTGTAGGTGGTGGAGCGACATGCTGCATACAGCATATTGCCCTCCTAGGTCGATGTGTGGGTTTCAGAGCTCTTGTTCAACAGTGATTCAATGTGGAGTCAAGCTGTCCATGCTTTTCATATCTATTCCTGCCTTTTTTTTGCCACTGTGCCATTTCTATACTTGCTTCTCTAAGGATGGGTTACGAAATGATCTCCTACGTCTCCCAGAGAACCAGGCATCATGGAAAAACACCCACACTGCTGTTATGTAACTACAGTTTGGTTAGCAATTTTCAAAAATGGCTTCTTTTCCTTTTTTTTTGTCAAAGACAAGAGTGCAGATATGAGTTGTGTGCACATATGTACAGTACATATGTGTGTTTAATTGGGTGTAATTGTGAACCAGATTTAAGGAGAAGTGTAGAGCCCCTGTGTATTGATAGCCCTAATGATTTCCACTCATCACATCTCACAACCATGCTAAAGTTCTAGGTTCACCCACCTGTTTACAACTAAAGAAATCTGTATATGTATGTAAATGGCCAATATAGGTTGTTCCTTTATATGTTTCTTTGGCATTTTGAAAATTTTACCAGCCATTGCTGACAGATAACAGACAAGTTGTTTTCCACAAGTCTTGCTGAGGCAACAGTGCTGTCTAAAAACATAATATCTTTGTGTGGGTTGCAACAGTGAGCAGTTACCAGAATGCTATATATACACCGAATGGTGCATAAGATTCAGAAAGCTAATTTGGAAAAAGCTGTTTGTACTGTACATATGCTATAGTAGTTCTGTTATTTTAATTTATTCCTGTACATATCTCAGTACCTGAACGAAAATGCTTATTTAATTAATAGCTTTAGAGAAACAAAAACAAAAACCAATAGGCCAGAAATAGTTAAAAGATAAGAAAAAGAATAAAAATTCTTACTGGTTCCAGCTCTAACAACCTGCTGTGTCTGTGTCTACCTTTTTCCTCCTGCTGTCCAGTGATGGCTGGGCAGACAGGTATGATGTGACTGATGGCTACCAGAAGGAGGCAGAAGGTGGAATCACTATAAAGCTAAAGTCAGCACATGTGACCTGGTTTGATGATTATTACCTGAACCTAAAGCCTGATGCAAACCTGAGAAACCCCTGGTTCCCTGAGTTCTGGCAGCACCGCTTTCAGTGCAAGTTGAGAGGACATCCGCAGGAGAATACCATTTACAACCGCACCTGCTCCTGTTAGTACAACACAGAGATAATGTCCGCACACCTTACACACTTTCCACTGATCATCTAATCTGTGTAGATTACAGTAATTTGGTCTCCTTATGAGCAGGTCTCTGTTCTCCACAGGGAGAGAGTCTCTGCGTCATCAGTATGCACAAGACACCAAGATGGGCTTTGTCATAAATGCCATCTATTCCATGGCTTATGGCTTACATGCCATGCAGCAAGCCCTCTGTCCAGGATATAAGGTCCGACAGCTAACTGTGTGCACTTTTGCACGTTTTCAAATTGGGCCTGACAGAACTGACGTTGTTTGCTCTTCCCAGGGTTTATGTGAGGCCATGCGGCCCATTGATGGCCGCAAGCTACTGGATTTCCTGATGAAAACCAACTTTACTGGTGTATCTGGGGAGATCATCCACTTTGACCAGAATGGGGACTCACCTGGCAGGTAAGGATTATTATGGGAAAGGGTGGAAATGAAGTAGAAAGACGTGTTAAATGTGTGCCGGTTCATGCATACAGCATATGTCCCTCAGGTATGAAATCATGAACTTCAAGCACATAGGCGAGGATGAATATGCTTACATCCATGTGGGAAGCTGGGATCAGGGTGGCCTAAAGATGAATGATGAGGAAATCTGGAGTAACAGCAGTGAAATCATCCAGTCAGTCTGTTCTGCACCCTGCCAGAAGGCACAGATCAAGGTATTCACCACCCTGGTGACACAAAGTTTTATGGTGTTGAGACTGATGTGTGTTGAAATCAACAAGCTATACTGAATTTCTTTCTACCTACTATTTTGTTTGCATGCATGAAGTAGAGCATACATTTTCAGGGTGTATATAAAATTGGCTATATCATACAAAGTTGTATATTATGCAAATTCAGTTTTATTAATATTGACAGTGCTTCTCTATCTCCCTTCAGCTCCTCCAAATCATGGAGAACTTGCAGTGTGCCCTCTTCTTTATCATCCCCAAGCTTCTATACACTATACACTGTGACACTTATAGGGGGTCCAAAACTCCAGCTGCATGCATGATGTTTTTAGACATCTATGTCTATATCTCCAAGCCTTAAACCCCAGCCCACATCACTATCTTTGCCTTTACTAGCTGCTTGACTCTCTCTGATCTACGATGACCTTTTCACTGTCTCTACACGTCCCTCTTCTCTCAGTTCGAATAGACAACAACCATTCCCTGCATCCTAAATTATCATATTGGCAATGCAGTCAACACCTTGCATATCCTCTGACTTTCCTGCTCTACGGTTTCCCTTTTTATCCATCCATGAAGTCTGTCCCATGTTAAATCACAGAACTGACATGAACTATTTTTTTTAATAATGAGGCTATGTACATCATTTTACTCTTTTGATCCCCTGACAAAGAAATTCTCATTTCCGTGTCATACAGGACAGTCAGAGTATAAGATTAGCTACAGAAAAGTGCCACTGGAGCTTTGAGACCTTTGTTACGAGTATGCGTGTGTCTCCAGGTGATCCGTAAAGGAGAGGTGAGCTGCTGTTGGACCTGCACTCCCTGCAAAGACAATGAGTTTGTGTTTGATGAATACACTTGTCGAGCCTGTATCCTGGGCTCCTGGCCTACAGATGACCTTACTGGTAAATACACTATGTGTGTGTCTCTGTTACCTACAGATAAGAGATTTCCAACCAGGCCAGAAGAGCCAGAAATCTGGGTCAAACACTGTTGCTCCTGAAATCCCCCTTACATACCTCTAACACGCTGGACTAAGACAAACTCACTGCTGCACAGAAATCAACACAAATACTCATACACACCACTTTAGATCCCTGCCAGAATAAAGCTTAGATTCTGTAACTGTAAAGTGTATCAAAACAGTTTGAAGTCATTTTCTTCCCTTGTGTAAACATCATCTCACACTCCCACAGTATAGTATTTTTGTTCACCAGCACATAGTTTGAAAAACATATAGAGCCAGCTTTTTATTGAGTACTCCATAAGAAAACAGCAGTGTCTTTATCCTGTTATCACTGCTCTCTCACTCTGATCCCCCTTCCAAATCCCTTTAATGTTTCACAACATATCTGCCTCATCTCTCATGACCCTTCATGCGCTGAAGATCTTACACATAACTAAACTGCAGTTCACAGTAAATCCTGCAGTATGAGTCAAGCAGTATGAGTCAATGCTGCATCCACATCAACCTAGGAGGCTCTTGCATGCAAACAGATGAATACACACCCTTTTCACTGTTACTACTGTAGACCATTCCAAGTTTTGCTTAAACTTTGTTTCTTGGTTTTTCAACCATGCAACCATGACCTCTCTCTGTCCTTAAGGTTGTGAGCCAATACCAGTGCAGTATGTGCGCTGGGGGGATCCAGAGCCCATCGCTGCAGTGGTCTTTGCCTGTCTGGGTCTCATGGCTACACTTTTTGTTACTTCTGTCTTTATCAAGTAATTACAGCCTACAGCTTCACTGTCATACAAAAAATAGCTGGGTCAAAACTGATAATATAGCAAGAAACACAAGTGGAATAACGCGTTCACTTTTCCCAGTACCCATGGGTAAAAGACCCAGGTTTTTTGACCCAGTTAATAATAGTATTATTATTTTTTCATAGCTGCTGGTTATTTACCCAAAAATAAAACATGGAATGAGAGAAAACTGGAAACTCTTTCCATTTACATGTCACTACTTGTGTTAATACTTTGCAGTTTTGAATGCCATACGCACATTGCTTGTACCACAAACAAGAATTTTATGGCAGTTCTAAGGTGAAATTGGTCAGCTTGTTGTTAGGTCATATAACCATATTTTAGTTTGAATAAATAAACTCTTGGTTTTAGATAAATTGCTATGTTGACAAATGCAAAAAATGCCATTACTTACAGTAGGTTTATTATGTTTTATCCTTACTGAAAATAGTAAGATTGTGACCATTTAAACAATCCATTTACTGCTCTGACTAGCTTTAAGGAAATGTATTAATCTATATACAGTGGTGTGAAAAAGTATTTGCCCCCTTACTGATTTCTTATCTTTTTGCATGTTTGTCACACTGTAATGTTTCAGATCATCAAACAAATTTAAATATTAGTCAACGATAACACAAGTAAACACATCATGCAGTTTTTAAATGAAGGTTTTTATTATTAAGGGAAAACAAAATCCAAAACTACAAAGCCCTGTGTGAATAAGTGTTTGCCCCCTAAACCTAATAACTGGTTGGGCCACCCTTAGCAGCAACAACTGCAATCAAGCGTTTTCGATAACTTGCCATGAGTCTGCCACAGCGCTGTGGAGGAATTTTGGCCCACTCATCTTGGCAGAATTGTTGTAAGTCAGCCACATTGGAAGGTTTTCGGGCATGAACTGCCTTTTTAAGGTCATGCCACAGCATCTCAATTGGATTCAGGTCAGGACTTTGACTAGGCCACTCCAAAGTCTTCATGTTGTTTTTCTTCAGCCATTCAGAAGTGGACTTGCTGATGTGCTTTGGATCATTGTCCTGCTGCAGAACCCAAGTTCGCTTCAGCTTGAGGTCACAAACGGATGGCCGGACATTCTCCTTCAGGATATTTTGGTACACAGCAGAATTCATGGTTCCACTTATCACAGCATGTCTTCCAGGGCCTGAAGCAGCAAAACAGCCCCAGACCATCACACTACCACCACCATATTTTACTGTTGGTATGATGTTCTTTTTCTGAAATGCGGTGTTACATATACGCCACACATAATGGGACACACACCTTCCAAAAAGTTCAACTTTTGTCTCGTCTGTCCACAGAGTATTATCCCAAAAGTCTTGGGGATCATCAAGATGTTTTCTGGCAAAACTGAGACGAGCCTTTATGTTCTTTTTGCTCAGCAGTGGTTTTCGTCTTGGAACTCTGCCATGCAAACCATTTTTGCCCAGTCTCTTTCTTATGGTGGAGTCATGAACACTCACCTTAACTGAGGCAAGTGAGGCCTGCAGTTCTTTGGATGTTGTTGTGGGGTCTTTTGTGACCTCTTGGATGAGTTGTCGCTGCGCTCTTGGGGTAATTTTGGTCGGCCGGCCACTCCTGGGAAGGTTCTCCACTGTTCCATGTTTTCGCCATTTGTGGATAATGGCTCTCACTGTGGTTCGCTGCAGTCCCAAAGCTTTAGAAATGGCTTTATAACCTTTTCCAAACTGATAGAGCTCAATTATTCTCTTTCTCATTTGGTTTTGAATTTCTTTGGATCTCGGCATGATGTCTAGCTTTTGAGGATCTTTTGGTCTACTTCACTTTGTCAGGCAGGTCCTATTTAAGTGATTTCTTGATTGCGAACAGGTGTGGCAGTAATCAGGCCTGGGTGTGGCTAGAGAAATTGAACTCAGGTGCGATAAACCAGTGTTTTGACAGGGGGGCAAACACTTGTTCACACAGGGCTATATAGTTTTGGATTTTGTTTTCCCTTAATAATAAAAACCTTCATTTAAAAACTGCATGATGTGTTTACTTGTGTTATCGTTGACTAATATTTAAATTTGTTTGATGATCTGAAACATTACAGTGTGACAAACATGCAAAAAGATAAGAAATCAGTAAGGAGGCAAATACTTTTTCACACCACTGTAGGTCTATTTATGTATCATATGATTTACCTGTAGATTCTGGGACACTCCTGTGGTCAAATCATCCAGTCGTGAGCTCTGCTACATCATCCTGGCTGGAATATGTCTGGGCTACCTGTGCACTTTCAGCCTTATCGCCAAGCCCCACATAATCTACTGCTACCTCCAGCGGCTGGGAATTGGGTTATCCCCTGCTATGAGTTATTCTGCTCTGGTTACCAAGGTACTTTGTTACTAGGAGGCAGAGGGACAAATAAACACAGCTCAAGTATTATAGCTTATCATCATGTTTCACTTACTGTGAAATGTTATGAGTTAAAAGGCCCATGGTTACATCATCAACTTCATTTGAGTTCTGTTACACTCTACGATGCTGCTGAGTACTACTATACTGTACTTTAACTGTTCCACAAACTGAAAAATCACCTTTACACCCTCCCATTAAAGGTCAGTTTAACTGGCTTTGGGATTTAAAATACATCTCTTCCATTTTTTGGACACACTTCCATGTGAAAGAGGATGTTGGGACAGTTTCAGAAGTCAGTAAACAATAATGTACACTTCTTTCATCAAACACATATACAGAGGAACTGGAGGTCAAAAAGCAGGCACATACAAAGAGTATACAGCTTACGGTATATGTTGGAGCTTATGTTGATATTTTTTGATCTAGACCAACCGTATAGCACGGATCCTGGCAGGCAGCAAGAAGAAGATCTGCACCAAGAAACCTCGCTTTATGTCCGCCTGCGCACAATTGGTCATCGCTTTCCTACTCATATTGCTGCAGCTGGGGATTATTGTGGCACTTCTTATCATAGAGCCACCACAGGTGTGTGTATGTGTGTGTCTGTATATACTGTATATTACAATATGGGGGATGTTCATTTCCATTTATTTATACAACCCAAGTGACTTACTCCTTTGTCTGGTTTTAGGTGATCTATGATTACCCCAGTATCCGTGAGGTACACTTCATCTGTAATCTGACCACTATGGGGGTGGTGGCACCACTGGGCTACAATGGCCTGCTAATCCTCAGCTGTACCTTCTACGCCTTCAAGGTACTTCACCATAACAGTAGTTAATAATGCACAGCTTGTCCCCCTGTACTTTCTCAGTTAAGTGTTTCTACTTCTGTCTTTGCACATGTAGGCTATTCTGCTGTTTTTCATCTTACACTGCTTTAAAAATGATGTTTATCCTTTTCTCTTACAGACTCGCAATGTTCCAGCTAATTTTAACGAGGCCAAGTATATTGCCTTTACCATGTACACCACCTGTATCATCTGGCTGGCCTTTGTTCCTATTTACTTTGGCTCCAACTACAAGATCATAACCATGTGCTTTAGTGTCAGCCTCAGTGCCACAGTGGCCCTCTGCTGCATGTTTGTCCCCAAGGTAGGAAATGGAAAAACATTCTTAAACAAATGTTACAGTGCTACAATGAAAAACCAAAGATAGTTTTCCATCTTCTTTTTTGGTTTGGCTTTTGTATCCCTACATCTTTATGCTAGCAGTTAATTGTCAATTTTCTTTGTCAGGTCTACATCATGCTTGCCAAGCCTGAGAAAAATGTCCGTAGTGCTTTCACAACATCAACCGTGGTGCGCATGCATGTAGGTGATGCCAAGAAAGCTGCCAAATCTGGCAAGTCCTCTAGCAGCATGGCCAACTTGTTTCGACGACGTGGTTCTGCACAGGACACCATCAGGTACATGGGGGACCTACTGTGAGTTGGTATTGAACTATGAATAAATACATTCCTCATTATCTAAAGCACCTGTGCCCAGCTGGAGTAAGCTTTTTAACTCTTAACAAATCATTTCCTATTATGTAGTTCTGCTTGGGGGGGGGGGGGCAGTATGACCTCTGGGGAAACAAAGGTCTTAGAGAAATTAGTCAACACTATAACAAAAATAAGCCAATCTCTTCCTTCTGTCTCCTCTATTTATCAATCTCCACTTAAGCAAAAGGCACTGAATATTATCAGTGATGTCTCTCACCCAGCTGCCTCCCTGCTTCAGAGATTTCCTTCAGATAGAAGGTTCAGGCAACTCACTATTAAAACAGAACAGTTCAGGATGAGCACATATAGTGCCTAGAGGCAATCTGGTAGATAAACAGCCCTTGGTGCTTCAAGATGTTTGTCCTTTTTAACACGATTTTAAATTGGTCTTATGAAATGCTCTTATCTTAAATTAATGCCATTAGTTTTATTATAGCACCTGGTCTTAGTTTTTAAATTGTTTATTACCATCAAAATTAATACTTTATCTTATGCATTTACTCCATCAGATTTTATCTGACAATATTACATAAATATATCCTGTATGAACATTCTCTTTTGGCATATTCATCTAAAAAAAACAAGCCTCTTCTCAGAAGTCCTATTTGACCTCTGTTTTACTGATACTTGTCAAAATTAAAAATTACATGATTTTGGAGGTGTTTATATAGTGTAATCAGGGAAATAGTCCCCTAAGGACCATATCAGTAATGGTGTAGGGTAAAAAATGCTAAAGGTGAGAAGGAGAAAACTGCAGGCAGGAAGGGACATGGCGGTTTAACTTCTATCTCAACAGTTCTCCTTGCAGCCACATACTTTAGCTGTCTCTCTTCTGTTGAGACATTTTCAAGAAACAACTATCCTTTTCATTCTTAAACTGTCTGTGGTAAATCAGAGCTGAATCCACTGCATTAGGCTGGATGTGAAGCCAAGAGAAACGCACTCCCTCAGCTGAGAACAGGCTACTTCATTTGGGTTAAGTACTCCCAGAGGACACCCAGTGACTTTAAGGATTTCTCTTTCTAAGGAAAAATGGAGGGAGATATACAATTACGCAGAAAGCAAAAGATAGAATAGGATGGTAGAAAAACATACTCTGCTTAGTAGGAATTTTCAGAACACTACTGCCTCTGGATCTTTCACATTAATTATCATTTGAACCCCTTATATTCAAGTCAGCTGAGAACTGATTATTCTGTGCTTCTGTGTTTCTTTCATGTTCAACAGTTCCAATGGGAAATCTGTGTCTTGGGTACAGAATGAGCACAGCTACAGACCAAATCTATGGAAAAGGATGTCATTCCATGTCAAGAAAAAGGACTCAGTGGAGGCAAACCAGACAGCAATCATCAAACCCTTCTCTAAAGAAGACACACCTGCAGACACCAGTGTCAAAAAGCAGTATGAAGAGCCACAAGTGTTTCAGCCCTTCACCTGTTCGCCATCTCAGTCACCTCTGCTCACCATCAGCCAGCATGCAGTGAAGGCAAGGGGTCTCCAAGGAGAAGGGGATGGAGAGGAGATGCAGGCTTTGCCCACCTATGTACCTGATCGCCTTGCTGGGGTCAGAAGAAGAGGTGGGGACAGCAGCCAGGGTATGGCTATAGTGGATGGTGGAGACATTAGCATCACAGGTGTGGGTGACATTGGGATAGGAATGATTGGCAGCCAAACTCAGGGCACCACCATCATGGAGCAAATCAGTTGTGTGGTTAACCGTTTCACTGCCAACATCAGTGAGCTCAACACCATGATGCTGCCAGGGGGAGCCACCGTCAGCACCATCTCCACAGCTGCTCTGCCTGCAGCTACAGACACTGCCGCCTGCCCTCCTCAGCACCTCGCATCCAGAAGCAGACAAGCCCCCTCCACGGTCACCACATATGCTGAGGTTGTGGCTGTGTCCAGTTTCTGTGAGAATTGTCCCACAGGTAAGATTTACAAGCACCTGCCTGGGACTTGTATGAGTAGCACACGAGCCAAGGGTATGGACGAAATGGTGTCTCTGACACCTCCTTCCCCGTTTCGAGACTCATCCCTGAGCTCCGATGGCAGTTCACCCCCATCGCTGTCCCCAGCATCTGAAGCTGAATATGACCAGCTGCTGTTGAGACACTTCAGCCAGAGCTCCTCCTCTCTCTAAACCTGCTTTCTCTCCATGTTTATCCTATTTTTATCCTTATTTTAAACTCCAAAAGACAAAGCTTCAGACTGGACCAAACTCTTGGATGCCTTTCTAAATATAAATATTTTGAATGTTTAACCATTTTTTAAAATAAATGGATTAAATGTACCCACACATTTCCAGTGAGAAGGCTGGGAGAAAAATACTCGTGGCAAAACTGCAATACTAAATGATACTGAAATTAAACTGAGCAATGTGAGTTCTTCATCTTTTGTTTTCAAAACTTGACAAAGTGAAACTCACATATGGGCATTTTACAGACTTGTTAGTGTTGTACTGACACAGGTTTCTAACTCGCTTTTAAACTTTTCAGATTCCAAAGAAAATGATTCATTACAATATGGTTATCAATCAAATTGGGGGAAATATACTAGCTATTTATGATCATTCTTTGGATTATGCTAAAAATAGTTCATAAACTGAATTTCAAAATGGCAAATGATATTATTAAGTGCAGGCTTGAGAACACAAAAGATTGCTGTGTTTCACTTCTATATTTTGCATCATATATTATTATAAACACAAAGTATGGGTTGTTTTTATTGCTTATAATATTGCTGTTGACTTTCTGTACATGACATGTGATGTCTTTTAGTGATAACATGCCCTAAAATACTTTGAGACTCAGCATGATGGTATCCATTCAGAAAAAAAAGCTCAGAAAACTGCCTGAAATTCAAACAACAAACATATCTTTCTTTCCGAGGAAAAAGACTACAGATGCTGCGAAAGATAGATACTTTATTGATCCTGAGGGAAATTCAGGTATCCAGTAGCAACAGCAATGATTACCAAAATCACAGCACCCAAAGTAAAGAGATGTATAAAAGTGTAAGGCTAAAAAGTATGAAAAATATGAGAGAGAAACGTATTGAGTAATGTGTGCCAAGTATACAGTATACATAGGGTACACATAAGTAAATGTTCATGGGGTACCTGTGTACAATGCCAATATGTGCAGGACTGAACACTGTGTGCAAGGACAAGCATTATGTGCAAAGGAAAAAAACAAGGGTAAGCAGTGTGCAATGCAGTAGTATAGAGTCATGCTATTATAGAGCTGAGTAGTGACATCACATGGCCATGTCCAAAAGTTGGCTCAGACCTCCTCACTGGGAGGAGTTGAAAAGTCATATGACCCGTATGCAAATCAGGAAGCAGTTTATTTTTCTTATTATTGGTACAGAGATCTACTGACCTTCCCTTTTCTTGTTTAAAGATTTTTTTCCAAACCCCTCCCATTGTGTGAGCACTGGAGCTCCTACAGACATTTGTATGCTGACATCATCAGGTGCCTCGCCCACAGAGAGCTTATGAACTACTTTGTTATCATCTTTAATTCTTTTCACTTGATGTGACATAGCTGAATCTAAGATGACCTATTAATATACGAAGTGGACCAAAGTGATCTTCCACCTCAGGTTGTCTCTGAACCAAAATATTTTAGGACTTCAACTCCTACCTGCTGAATTAGCACTGTCGTCTGCTGGCTCAAAATGTTTACCACTTTGCATGATGTCAAGATATGTGTGCACTTTCTGAGATATATTAGCAATGAATTTCCTTTTAATATTGTACCTGTCAAACCAAACAAGATTAAAATATACAGTAGCAAGTTAATGATACTATTCCTGATACTGATGTGTTTTTTAGACTAGATTTAGGAAAGAAGTAAGCTGGATGTGTGCATTTTTCAGACATCTACTGCAAAACAGCTTGTTTCCAGCCTGGCTTTCTACCTACTGTACATATGTGCCAGTGTTTCCCCTGCAGTAAATGACACTGTGCTTCTGTAAATGGGTTCATATTGAGAATCCTACTGTGAGCCCATTTCCAGTAGATTGTAATATTTTAAGCATTTCAGGAATTTTATGATACTTTGACTTCAATGAATTACAGTGATACTGATTATATTAATGTGGGAGCTAGCTTATGTTTATCAGATGTTTCTGAACCTTTTGAACTTTTTTGTATGTTTACACAAGCGAAAATGTGTTCATAGTTTTTGGAAAATTGTGTATCTTTTTACTAGTTTCCACTGTAAATATTATTGTAGACAGTGCCATATTTGCATGATGATTTGTACTAACTGCAATTTGACTTTATGCCAATAATTCACTGATATGATATACACAAGACGTTTGTCTTCACCTTCTCTCTTCATCTGCTTTTCACATATCCAGACTTTACTGTAGGTTTGTACTGCATTACAGGTTTCCATGCAAATTGCAGTATTTACAGTCATTAGTAAGTCGTTGTAAATATTCTTCTTTTGCAAAGGAATACTTCAATCACAGTAATATTGAAATTCTTCATCACAATGATAGGGATAATATTTTATTTTAATATTTAAAAATCTAAAGTATAACCTTAACTGGAAAAAGCACTAGTGCTTCATTAACCAACCATTTTATAACGACAGAAATTTAGGAGTAGGAATTTCTATTCAAAATGTTGATCATGTTTTAAGAAGCCACGTTTCTTTTTAAGTATTAAATGCCTCCTAACCTCGCCCACCTCCATACTCCCTGCATTTCTAACACCAGAGGATAACAGAATAAAAACTACATTTAGTACGATACAAAGATCTAAAACATATATAAAAAATGAAAATAAACTAACAAAAACAGGGCTTCAGTATATGCGTAATGGCTGGAAAAGCACCGTTACGCATGACCATATGGCCCCAGGATAAGCCTGTTAGCATGTCAGATAGCTCGGTGGAAAGTTCAGGGTCTCGGCTTTACGATGGGCAAGACACATTTCATCCATATTCTACCGTTTTACGGACAAATGTAGTTAAACACAACGCGAGGAAAACCCCAGTTACAATCGAGGCTACAAGTCACAAAGCACCACTGGTCAGCTGGGCCTACTCGAACAGATCTAGTTAGCTTCATGATAACAGGCATTAGTTCGCAGGTCTAAGTCGTTTTTCAATTCATACACACACACACACACAAGTACACAAGACAGAGCTGCCTGAAAATGGGAAATTATGACCGCATATCAAGTCAAGATGTACCACGACAATAAAAAGCTTACCTGTTTCTGATTGTGCTAGGACCCAGGTAATATCCCACAGTAACTTAAAATTGAACATTTCCCTTTTGCGAATAGGTGGCAATTAAGTTAGGCGATTATAATGGCCTAACTTAACTGCGTTTAAAATACATTCAGTAAGCCTCAAAGATTGCAGTGATACCAGACTGTTTGTTAAAGGGTTGTGACGTAGTGAGGCCAGACAGGAAGGCCAAGTAGAGTAGAGTTAGTACTGTCAATCTGTTTGACTAGAACAGCTAATTGTCCTCTACATATTACTTTCCTGTTCTCCTGCCAAATTGTCAACCCTCAGCTACTTTGGTTATGATTCTACTGTGGTTTATCTTTGTGAGGATATGAGAATCAAACCATTGATACCATTTGAGGTATCATTTTGAACAACAGCAATAACTCTGAAGATCACTTGCAATGTGTCCTGGCACTTTATTTAGTATACTACTTATAAATAATGATATACTGGACGAGACATTATTGCCTTCAGGGGGTTGTTTGCTGTGCATGATCCAGCAGATGACGTGTGTTGCAGTGTGGCGAAAGCATATCAGATAAATAATTAGAGAGTAATATAGTTTTATTAAAAGAACCAAAGTCGCATGGACAAAAACTGCCATACAAAAAGACAGATACCCTTTTCAACACGCCTGTAGAGTACGTTCCTATTGCCTCTCTTTACTCTTGAGGATAAGTGGAGCAAGGATGCGACTGTTTCGCTCCGCACAGAGGGTTTTAAAGTGTTTCCACAGTTACATAATGTGGCACTATTCTGCAGTACTCACGAAACCCTTCTGACAGGAACTACCCTACAGTAGCGCACGCAATAAACAGCTACTTTTGCGAGGTCACACGCTCCCATACACGGCCCCTGTGAAGAAAGCACCCTTTCCCACAGGGAGGGCGGTTCCTAAACCCATACGGAGAAGGAGACGCACTGGGACAAGGAACAGTACCAAGACATAGTAAGTTGATTGTTGTTGCGACTGAGATCTGGCACGTGAGATGACCAATCATCCATCACGCTCCAACGGTATGCGGAGGATCTGGAAGGAGCACCTGTACAAGGTGCTTGTTATAGGAGACCTGGGGGTCGGGAAGACCTCCATCATCAGACGCTACGTCCACCAGACTTACTCTAGCAACTACCGGGACACCATCGGAGTGGACTTCGCCCTGAAGGTGTTGAACTGGGACTCTGAGACTGTTAGGCTCCAGTTGTGGGACATTGCAGGTACCGTGAATAATTTTAGTTTCAGTGCAGGCTATAGTGTATCATCCTGCTGACACTACAAGTGAAAGTCAAAGTAAATTGGGTGACAACTGACATCAGGTTTAATACAGCTCAGTGATGGGTATAAGCGTCTGTGTTGCACACACTTTATCATTTAATTTTAGGATTATTTTCATGTTTAAAACATGCAAGATCTAAAAGACCCTTTCAAAACCTAACTAAAAATGTCTAAATGATGATTATCAAGGCTGCCTTAGTTCCTGAAAACTTGATAATATGGGGAAGTAATGTTTATCATCAAACTGACAGTGAAGCATGACTGTTTTATAACTCACAGCTTAAAGATGCACTGTCACTGGAGACGTGGTATCTGGCACAAAGTATTCTCTCTCTCACACACACACATTTTTGCTCAGGGTAGAAGAGCATGCATATGATTCAGTTATGTTTCAAGGTATGCCAATGCATCATGTGATTAGACCATGTGAGGGAGATTTTAACACCAGTCACGGGAGTGTCATTGAAGCCTAAATAAAAAACAAAACATTACTCACACACACACACACACACACACACACACACACACACACACAGAGCACATGCTTTTCAGTCCATAAATTGAAATTATAAGTCACAGTAGATTTGATCTGATATATCTGGTTGAAAATCATACTAGGTAGGAGTAGGAATAAACTAAATAAAGACTCTATTGTAATCTCCGAGTGTTAAATGTTATTTTGAAATCATGTAAATTGCGGTCGGTTTATTATTTATCGGTTTATTGAATGACAGTGCGTCAAGTGACATGTGACATGTGTGTGTGTCTGTCTGAGGCTGCTGTGCAGATGGGGATTCCTTGTAATAAAAATCATATATTCTCTCGCACAGAAGGGGGAAGTTCCTGTCAAATTTCCCATTTCCTCTTACTCATGAGTTAAGTAGCAGCATTATACTTATTGCAGAGCCAAAAGTGAACTCTCATGCATTAATATTGATCAACCATATAAACCTTTCTCTGAGATGGCACAGTAGGTAAATCAAGTAGGATGCACATGTCAGTTTTGGACTAATAAGTTCATTAGACAGCAGAACACACATCCCTGAGGACTGTTTAGTTGACAGCTGTCCTTAGACACTTAATTTCTATTACCAATGCAAGACACAAGCATGAATAAAGACACATACTACACATGCATACCTGCACACAGACATTTCACATGGTTCTATCCTCACAGATATATTGTTACAGTCAATGTAAGTCAAAGTCAAAGTTTATTTTCATTGCAGGCTGGGCAAAATACAGGTGTAATTTAAGTATTTTTATTATCAGTAGAAACAAGCAGCTGCATTGACCACCTGGTTAGGTGCAATGTGAGAGTAAGACCTCAGAACTGTGCTGTTTCACAGAATACATACATTGCTAACTCCCTTTCTTAATGCCAGTTATGTTAATTGTTTTGCTGCAAAAATATAGGAATGAGAAGTTCATCAATTTGATGGCTGGGAGCAGCAACGTTGTCATACTGATGCATGAAGCTCCCTGTGTGTGTGTTCATTCACAGGCCAGGAACGTTTTGGAAACATGACAAGAGTGTACTACCGTGAAGCCATGGGAGCCATCATAGTTTTTGATGTGACACGGCCAGCGACCTTTGAGGCCGTCATCAAGTGGAAAGAGGACCTGGACTCCAAACTGATACTGGCCAATGGACAGAACATTGCCACTGTGCTCTTGGCTAATAAGTGTGACCAGGGCAGGGAGATGACGAACAGTGGCATCAAAATGGAACAGTTCTGCAAAGACCATGGCTTTGTTGGGTGGTTTGAGACCTCCGCTAAAGTGAGCTCTGAGTATGAGCAGGGCAGTTTTGTTTGCCAATCAACTGCAATATGTGACTTGAAATGTATTTCTGCCTATCCCACAAATAGTTCTGTCTTAGAATTAGAGGAGAGGATTGATACCATTCCTATATACTGTATATGGGGCTATTTGTTGTACTGACAAATATAGATGTATATTGTAGCCCAGTATCTTAATTAGTGAACTTTAAAGGCGTTGGTACAATAGATGGCATATGTTACTTTCAAACAGATTAGCTGTTTCTGTCTATGTCTTGTCACAATTCCTGTAAGAATCAGCAAATGCAGAACAAAGACCCAAATACAGACACAATTGGCAGACAGACTTGGCAAGCAGTTTATTAAGACCACAAGAGAACAAGGCTTTGAGTCTGAGCGGACAATATCAGACAAGGAGAACAGAAGATGAAGTAGTAGTCCAAACAGAAGTCGACACATCTGTAAAGTCCAAGTCCAGGCTGAGGGAAAAATGGAGAAGAAACTGGTTGACCATTAAATGCTTTACATTCTTGGCTGAGATATTTGTTTTAATAATATAATATTAATAATCCCAAAGCCCATAAAAAATTACTTTTTCCATATATCATTTAATCCATCCATCCATCTATTATCTATACCTCTTATTCCTGAATAGGGTCACGGTGGAGCTGGAGCCAATCCCAGCTCACCACCGTGCCACTGTACCACCCCTCATTTAATTTGTTTACTTGAAAAATATTTTAATCAGGGGTCATCCTGTAGATGTTTTATTTTATTTTGGTCATTGTCCTAGTGCAGTAATATACTGTAAACAGTCCAAAAGGCAGTCAGGATATATATGCAACAACAAAATAAAACTGTTAAAAAATAATACTGTAGAAAATTCAGAAGAGGAATATATAGCCAAACCTAACTGAATTATCTCTCGCTCTCTCTCCTTTAGGATAATTTCAACATCAGTGAAGCTGCAAACTTCCTGGTCAAGCACATCATGTCCACAGAAAATGACACACTGACAACTGTGGTACCAGACACCATCTCACCCCAGCTCAACTCTGACAGACAGATGAGCTGCTCGGGCTGCTTCAAATACTGAAAGGATAGAGCAGTGGCCGGCCAGAACAGAATGAAGACAGTAAGATAAAGAGAGACAGTCATGCTGCACAGCCTTCCACAGAAGTACTTAAGGTGCAGTTTCACTGATTTGGTGCAAACCACATGCAAATGTATTAGTTTGCTGCATGTTTGTGCAGCAAAACAGAGCTTGTGAACTCAAGTCACATGGGCTCAATAGTTGGTAACTCGTGATTGTAAAGTTTTTGGCAAACAAACAAGATTTAAGCCTAATGTCCTTGTCTATGCTCCTTTGCATAGATTTGATTATTTAAGGAATCTGGCTATCAACCTTGTTTTTCTGGCTGTTCCTTTTAGCTGGTTAAGATTTCATTCTGATGTCTAATAACACTTCAACCACCTACCAAAGGAGTAAATACTCCCAACATGGTGGATGCAACACACTCAAGGAGTGCAGTAATGACAGGATGAATGCAGTTGTCTTGCTGAACTTATATCTGTTATTCACTGTTTCCAGCAAGTGTTGGTGTTCTCTCTCTATTAATATAACTTCTACATAAACTCAGAGAAAACCGCAGTGTGGGAGACGCAGCCTCCGTTTAATGGTACTCGGCAAGAGACAAAGAACGCAAATTGAGTAATTATGTGAATTTGCACATACATTGTTTTTTTTTTAAATGATTTAAGTTATTACCAGGTGCTTTTATGAGCGTAATGTTGGTTATCATAGTATGTTATGTTGCTTAAAATCCTTCCTACAACAGAATTTTTTACTTTCCTACTATGTAAGTGTGTTATTTTCATCAGAAGAAAAACTGTGTCGATTTTGGGCACTCTCCTGAGTTCACTTGTCAAAGCCTAACCCTCTGTATCCATGGTAACTAGATCCAGTCTTTTTAATGGATTTCTTCTAACAAGTGTTTGCATCTACGTCTTGCTGTTTTCACAACCTTATAGACACAAATGCATACCCACACATACACATCCACTCTCCATGTTCTTGTTCTTATTTTACCTCATAATTTCTTCTCTCCTCACCCACTACATTTTCCACTATTGGTTCCTCAGAAAAACACTGTAACGCGCGGCGTGCCGGCTCGACCAAATGAAACGCAGTGTCTATGTCAGCATCAGTGAATCTGTGATCGACCTCTTGTTCTGTTGAAGAAAGCCATGAACGCATGTTCATCCAAATTACTTAGACCTGTTTTCACCTAGACGCACCTCCTCAGCCTGGGTTAACCATTGTGAAATGCATTAGGCCAGGAAGCACTTAGAAGACTATGTCAAGCCTCACTTTGTCGTGTTACCTTGGATTTCATAATTCTGCTTTTGAGCAGCACTTCCTGGTGACAACAGTGTGTGTTATTGTGTGTCTTGTCAGGGATTCAAAGAATCCACATTAGGGTATAACAGATTTAAATCTCTTTTCTACAAGTTTGGCTCATCATGAGTGTGTCTGTGTGTATCAGGCGGATTTATCAGCGGATTATCAGCGGATTTATGAGTTGATTAAAAAAAGAGCCGCATGCTCACACGTTGACGCACATGTCTATCAGAGTATGGCAATATTTTGTGACAGATAATTTAATTTTGTCCATTAATTGATTAATAAACTGTACATCTTCACCAGATTACACCACTTGTGGATTTTTTTCTTGTTCATTATTTATTGTAAGTAGTAAAAATAAATTTATTTCACACATACCCTGTGCTGTTTTATTATTATTATTATTGTCTTTACTGACGACGTCTTTACTGCTCCTCTTGTCTGTTCTACGATTTTTCACATCTTCTACATTTTCAAGTCTTTGAACAAATTCTACAACTATTAAAATGCCGCCAAGAGGGAAAAGAGCTAATAAATCAGATGCAAATGAGGATGTTGACGCAGAAGAGGATTATATTTCAGTGGTGCAAGTAACAGAGATGTTGAGTCAGCAGAAGCAGATGTACACCGCACTGTTGAGCCAACAACAAGA